GCAGATTGCGTGCGACTAATGTGCGACCGTCCGCACTTGATCGTTTTAGATAGGTGGAGCACGGCGTAGTCATTTGAATCTTAATAATCTTTTTTTAACTTGTTAGATTTAGAATTTAATTAAGATTTCAAATTGATTAGAAAAAGAAGTGTCTATTATCGGTTAGAATTTGCTAATAAATAATTGAATTCTTTTACATCGGATACGCTACTTTAATATCAAGGAAACACTTTTATAACCGGAACCAGACGAAATAAATCTTTTTAATACGATAGTGATTCCTTATCTGTTTTTAGTACATTTACAAGTAAAATATTTGTATGACTAATCACGACTGAATTACACACCTACAAACGTAATACCTTATTTTTATATCACGTCCATCTTTAATACTTATTGGCTTACATTCGAACAAATAGAATAAAACTGTATTCAATTTTATAAGCGGTAACTAAAGTCACGTTCGAATCAATGATGTAAGAAACCATTAAGACTATTTTTAAAAAAAAAAATAACTTTTTTATCAAATTTAAATTATGTTATTGGTTCGCGTTAAAAATATTTAAAGTTTTGCAACAGCACTTAATTATAAATTAAAAGGATTTTTAATAATATCAAGATGTAATGAGTGCTCTATAAAAAACATAGCATTGATCTGCTTGTCACTTGTACCGTAAATTAAATTATTGCATACATGAAAAGACTTTAGGTCTTTATGAATTTCAATAGCACGTTGATTAGAAATTCCACTTGAAATAATTGCTAGACTAAGAATGAACGAATCAGTAGGAAGAGAATTCTAAACGTAACACTTTGTATGATGGGTTACCAATCAAGTCTGGTACACATTAGATGTAAATTATGAACACTTACTTCCTTATTAATGGGAGAAATTACATTAATATTACGGTATTCCGTTCTCGTCTGGCTCCAGCATAAAATTATTAATTAGTGCTTGGGATAGGGTCCCGACTATGAAAGTTGTGTGAACAAACTTCCTAGCAATAAATATTAGTTTAATTATTTATTTAAAATAGTAGAAACGGTATCTTAATCAATTTACACTTCATTTTGCAAATCTTGAATCGACTTTATTAACCAGATGCTTTTCCTTCGCATACATCAAATAAAATGAACCATTCGTTTAAATAACTACAAGCTTACCGCTTACGCTTGAGGCATTTTAACTTTATGTTAATTAAACTTCAAATAGGATGTCAGTTTAGCAGAACTTATATTAACTTGTCCGTTTATGTAATAAACTGTCATAGTTATAAAGAACTCAAGTACGATAGCAAAAAAAGCCAATGACCGATGTTGATACTAAAAATATTTTTTTCTAAAATATAGTTTGATGGGTATAAAATCACGATTTAATAAACAATAGGATTTCCAACTAAAAGTATGACCAAGAAGTTAACAAAACGGTCAGATAGTTTAACAACCTTCAACTATCGCGATCAGTTACGTCACGATGCTGGGATCATGTCAAGATCGCGAACCAAAGATTTGCTCTTATGGTAAACATGTCGTGTGAACACAAGTGCCCTAAAATTGACCTTATAGCCCTACGTAGCGGTGTGTAATATTATTCAACATTTTATTTGGACATTGACCTCGTATTGAATTAAAAATTATAATAGAATAAAAATTATTGTATAACTTAGTGATCTGAATAGTCTATGATGAATGAATAGTCATACACGAATGATAAAAGTTTAAGGATAGCAGTTCCTATCAAAAGCTTCCTGCAAAAATAGCATTTTACAAAATCAAATAAATAAGTTATGGATAGAAGCATACCAATAATAATCATTACATATAAAATTTAATAAAATACACAAGCACGAAAAAGACATAAAAATAAGCAACGCATGACAGGTGAAGCCCATCCCAAAACCGTTGAGACAGTTTAGATCGTTCAACTTGAACGTGACGTCCGGTGCTATTTAGTAGAAAAAATGCCAGTTCGAGGATCTAGCCCGACTCGGTAACCCTCTCCTGAGTCATCTCAACCAAAGTACCCTGTTATCGAACACAAAATCAGTACGGTACTGACGGTCTAAAAGAGCAGTAACTTTACAAAACGATAATATCCGACGCAATGACTATCCGACTAAATCGCGTTCTACAGCAAGTGTTGTTTATCATGGTGAGGACCCAAACACGAAATTAATAAAAAGTGAAACAATTAAAGCAAAGTGAAATAATAAAGGACACGTTGATTCGAACGCAGATGAAGATACTTTTATTCGGGAAACCAATGATTCTGAAAAGCAAGAGTTAATCACAACGCTGACTAAGTTTACAGAAAGAAGTGAAAGTTACTTACGCTTATAAGAGCAAAAATTTGCCAAGTTGTATCAGCAATAAAACATTTTCTATTGTGAATACAAACGTGAAGGTCAATTGGGAGCAAGCCAGTGTATTATTTAATGTTGTTAATGCAATTATGAGTTATTCTTAGAAGTGTATAAAAAGAAAGTATATTACACAATGAGGCTTTAAGAATATTTGTCCTTTTTGTAATTTTGAATAGTATTTGTCGACTAAACTTGGTGTTCGGTACATCTTGTCGTGATTTCATCTTCTTTCTTCATTCGTAGGATTATAGGCGAGGGTTTAGTATGTCTTATTACGAGTAATTATAGGGTCCGGAACGATTGATCGATGTCAGTAAATTAACCTTAAGAATCTTGATTGCTATTTTACTTTCTTTTATTGTACACATTAGAATGAAATTATGCGTAGCAATTACAAAAGTATAAACAATATACTTTTGATATTTCGATCATAAAGAAAGTCAACATTACTATTACTATTAACTTGAATCGTGAGAAAATTTACGAAACTGAATTAAATTAAAGAGGCGTTGAAAATGGATAGGTAACCAATTCGACTGCAATTACATTTAATATTCCACGTCGAATATGAAACTGCCTTGAACGCAATAAAATAAAACTATTGATAACAGTTATCTGCTTACTAAAATTGAACTGACTCCCATTATAGCATTATGTCTTTTGTGTAAGGTAAAAGGAAAATTATTGTAACAAACACGAGCACCAGTTGTGGACACAAAAAGGTCTTTGTTGTGAGTTAGTCTGATGTCAATATATACGGGTTAGTGGGACAGATAAGTGAGTGCGTTGATCAACTTATGATGATAGCGATCCAAATTGGATCGCTCAGCAGGTGAACAATGTAATTGTTCGTAGGATGATGCCATGACCGCCTACGATTACGATAACGATTGCTCTTGCCTTATTTACTATTCTGCTATCTTCTAAACAAACCTTAGTTCATTTATAAAGAGAGAAACAACCAAAACCGATCTCTTTAAATGCATAAGTTCCGTACCTAACAACTTTATGTCCAAAATTAAATTAAAGGCGCAAAAAGTAAAACGAAATGGTCTTTTGTGAAAAAAGCTACAAAGGATAATCGTCATTTAACAGGTTTATTAACCTGATCCAGCAACAAACGTGACGAAGTAATCGGCAAATCGCAGGGTACATGACCGTGAAGCATTGTTATGAGTAAGAACCACCGCGCACGAATTACTCCTTTCGTATACCAACACAAGCTTCAAAATCTCTCGACATAATCCTTGCGTAGCTTCAGAAATACCCCACAAAACAAGATATTTTCGCAAGATCGCAAGAAGAATGAGAAACGAATAAGGTGTACACGTAAGAGCGTTGACACAGAAACCCTCGCCGAGACAAACGGGGATGAATGAGATTGTGGTTCGCGATCCGAGACCAACCTCGAGCGATTTCCCATCATTGTTGCGATAACTAATGACAAGTCGGATAAATTGACGCACTTTCAACGGATACATAAATCGTTACACTGCATTCTTATATTACTTGCGAAAATAGTTTCATTGACAAATAGAAATGGCATTCCTTTGCTCATTGTTCCGGTTCTTTATGGTTGCAGATTCATAAATCAACTTATTCTTTGGTTTCAGACGGTGCCCCTACCCGCCGGGTCGACTTCAGTGTTGGCGAAGCCGACAAAGTACCACTACTATCCACACAATCAGCACATCTATTTATTGCCTGAATGCGCTATTCAACAGGTAATTGACACTTTTGTTCTAAACAAAGTACCGGAACTGAAATAAACGAAATGCTTACAAACAATATGACTAATCGATAAGTCTGTCACATTCAGTAATTGTAGCTTCAAAGCTTTTTTGAGACCTGAAGATAATATCAAAAGGTTTCTTTACTTCTTCGTATTTTCCGCGCTCAATATCTATAGACACGGATCGAATGTGATTTTGTTCTAAATATAGTGAAACTACTAAGAAAATATTATATTAAATCTTGAATAGCGGAACAAACTATTTTAACGAAAGCTAGTTTTTTAGCAATGGCTTGATGATCAGCTCGTCATTATTGATGCGTTTCTGGATATTCCGTATTTGGAACTGGCAAGACTACATCAATCATGAGATGAATGAATATTATATCAATAGTCAAGAATCTAACCCACATGTGTGGAACGAAGAACGTTCGCAATGTTCAGTATGTTGGTTCGTTAGCTTCATAAGGTGGTAACGTTACAGGTATGCAACGCTGTGTACGTGCGTCTGAACTACACGCAGCCGCTGTGCGCGTGCCCTGCTCGGTACAGAGACCCGTGCTCCGCGAGTCTCAACGCCGACGACCTGCATACTACGCGCCTCACCACCGACTCGAAAAAAAAGGTAACGCTCCAACATAATTGGATTTATTATTCCCATAGTTACTTTTTGTAGCAAAGTTGCCATGTTTGTTGTGAAAGAAAATGGTTTTGTTTAATCCAATTCTTCTAGCAATGGTGCTCGTAGAGTAGGTAATTCGTGCATTACGAGTAGTGTTTTGCAAATCATTATATGTCAGGTTTGCGTGTAAGCTCTAAGTCTAAATTAAAAACGTTATTTTAGTTTGCAGAAACGGATGATTAAGTCCTTATTCTGATTATTATCTTGAAGATTTATCATGTTAAGTAAGTTAAGACATTCGTAAATGCAGAAAGGCATGCAATGCAAGACCAATAAATTATTAACCTGGTTGGTCATGTTAGCGATAACATACTAATAAAAGTTCCACTTTTATTACAGTTTGCTAGTAAAGCTGTTACATTAGTAAAGACATGCGAGGCGGTGTCCGAGATGAGAGAGTGCCGGGCGCCTAGAGACTGGTCGCTACTAGCACTACAGAACATCAGAACCGGCAAATCACACTACTTAGTAATCTGTCGATGTCCCGAAGACCACATATTAGGTAAGCAATGCATTTCTTACTACAATGATGCAAAATTAACTTAGAATGCGCAAATTTCCTAACGGGAAACTACTATTAATAGTAATTTCCTATTTTGATAATCTTATTAAGGCTTTTGACAAAGCGAACTTGCGACAGAGTCGGCATTATTGGATGTAAGTTTACATACTAGCGGCTAAGTGCGGGTTGAATAGACATTCCCTGTATAAACGCATTTGCTTAAGAATTTTTAATCATTGTCGCGTCAGATATGTCTACCATTAGATTTCCGCATGGAGTGCCGCAAGGGACAATCTTAGGTTACATACCTAACCGAGAAGTACATTGTCCATTATATTTGGTGAAGTATTCGTATTATCAGATACACTTACTTAAATGGTTGCGGCTGCGATATAAGGGATCTTGTATACCATGTTTGTTGACACTTCGTGCAGTATTGTGTGCTGTGCATTATTGTATTGTAAAGTGGCTACTATTTAGCCAAATAAGTATTACAGTGAGCTATGGAATACAAGCGCGTTTAAGTGCAGACTTTGGGAAAGCGTTTACAAGCGATTATACCTGTTTACAATATTATTTATAGTAATATTGGCAATGTTTTATGTTACAGAAGGACCGATGTCACATGATCAGCCAACGTATGCGTCTGTACCAGGCATCAGAGTGTATGGAATGATGTGTGTGCGACCCACCACTGCTTACCATTCTGGTCGGTACTATTTTATCGATTAAACCCTAATAATTTTCCTATTATGACTTCATACTAATGATATTTTTTCTAATTCCAGCATACCACAAGAACAGATACACCGGCTTAACCGTTCAGAGTACTACAAGCGCCTACAAAGTGGACTATTCTCAATCACATGGGTATCCCGACAAGCCCGTTTACAACAGATATCACACACATAGTTACACAGAACCTTACTACAACCGGAGATCTCGAGTCGCAAGGACCAGACGATCGCCTTCAGAATACCCCCCATTCCCATGGTACAAAGTTATGGAACTAGCGAGGTCATTACATTGGATCAACTAGAAACTAACCTCCTTTAAATTTAGAATGAAAAAAAGTTTGTTGGTTTCATAGAGGCTTTATATTAATCGGTTCCGCCTCTTTGAATTCAACTTATACTTGAAACATATTTAATTTCGAAACGCTTTTCGCTTATTTATCCGAATTTTAGTTAATACTTGCTTACTAACTTTCCCATTCTAAACGTGATGGTTTAGTGTGGTGAAATTTAATTTTGGATGCCTATGGAATACTCAGTACAACTGCATTTACTAGGATAATAAACAATAATTTAATTTATTGAATTAAAATAGTGAAGCTGTTTAGTAAAGGGTGGAAATGTTGTTAGCCATTACAGTTGCTTATAGGTACCTCAAAATTTTACTTAATACACCATCCACTTGCATGTAACACTAACAATTGCAATGACTATTTCAAAATCAACGTTTAAGTGAATGTATATACAAATAATTCAGAGGAAAAGTGGTACGTTAGTAGAAAAAATTACAGCAAAGCAGCGCGCCGGTACATTTAAATAAATACCGTAAGCCCGATCACCGTTAATCAATACTGGCTAGATTAAAATGTCATAAAACCTAAATGCCACTAAAAACTTAAATGAGTTTCCCCCGCACAAAAACCTTTTTAGAACAATTCCGTTTGTATTATTTATTTATTTTATTCAATATACATTATTATATTTTGGAATAATTTAAAATAAAATAAAATTGCCAGAAATAGAAATAACCATGACTATTAGTTTTTAAGTATTGGATTAAATAATAATTTCAAAATAAATTAATTATTTCTCCCCACCTGTAGACGGTGATTACATAATAAATAATAATTAAATGGTATTTTTATTGTACACAAAAGATATGTGATAAGTTTTCAATGATTTTTTTGTGTAACATTTCAGTGCATTTATAGTTAATGTTTAGTTGTAATTTTAATAAATATTTATTTAAGAACCATATTTATACTTAGCGTAAAATGAATTGTACATATTAGATGTAGAAATTACAATATTTGTAATTATGGAAAATAAATTTAACGGATTTTTTATAATGTTTCTTTCACCCGCCATATTTTATTCAACAAGTTTATTCGATAAGGATTTGTCTACCTGTTATAAAGTTCAGATTGTCTTATTATAAGGACTTACCTAATACTTTCTGGTCGACGACGATGTCACAGGTGTACATTGCTGCCATCAGGCGCTGAGGCTGCGCTTGGAAAGCTTTTCTACATGCATCCCTTACTGTTGACATGATTTGACCTACACATAATGTTAATATTAGAATTTCATTACAACAAAACAACATCTCGGCCAATGTTTCAGCGGCCAAAGTTCCCAGCCATGAATTCGACAATTGTTGCAGATTTGTGTATTATACAATATCTAAATAACTGATAAAACAAAATTACAATTACTAGTAACTTGCCTGACCCGGGAATTAAACTACACAGTTCACAGCGCGGCAGTCGCGGCTACGAAGTATTTAAGTGCCTCTATGTCAATTGGGTAGTTAGTTTTCTAGGCTAAAAATATACTATTTGGACTTTATTACAATGAGTTAATGAAATATACTTAATCATAATTTTCACTCATCGATTTGACGATACACCTAATTTATTTAATAGCTATTTTGTCAGAAATATAAATACTATTTGTAAAAACGTGACATCATATTATTTGTGGCGATTTTATACAAAATTAATGGCAGTTTTTGATATTTCAATAAAAGTATTGAGTTTGACTATTTAGAAACAATTATATTAAAAATGTTTTGATATACTAATGTTTGTAATGTACCTGTTAGAGGTCCAAAGTGTGCCATATCATCTCCAGCGGACTTATCCAACGACCATTCTTCGACACAGAACGCAACACCCATCATTGGTTCATCACACAATGGCCCAGCCAAGGAAGCCAACTGGAACCCATTCACAAAACTACTTTCATACTCAAATCTCGGATCCTCCTTGATCTCTTGCTCATGATGAAGATACTTCGTCCTATAATCTCCAGTTTGATTGAGAAGCAAATTTGGCCCACAATTTCTAGGGCCTACAGACCATATTTCTTTAACCACATCCTTCCATTCAGGGCTCAATTTAACGCATATAGTTTGCAATTCTTCTTTAAAAGTCTGAATCAGTTTTAGCATGCGATCAGATAGTTTATGCTTCGTTCCATTTACTTGTAGGTCTTCGAATTTAGTTTCTAGGTTATCATTTTTATGTAATCCTTGTAACGTTTTTATATGTTGAGATATTGCTTTGAGTAAATCAGTTGATCTGTCTAGTAAAGCCGTTATTTCACTCGGTATTGGTTTCGCTCTAATCTTAATTCTACTTTGTTTGTTGTTTGTGTAAACCGTTATAACTGGGTCTACGTCTTTATCTGTGGTCTTATCTATAACGTTTTGGGCGTCAATTTCTTCGTTCGCCATATCTATTTTTGGCGGTTCTACTATTGTCTCTCTGAATGGAACTATTGGTTCTGATACTGTGATTGGTATTTTTGCGTAGTGATTTCTAAAAGAAAAAATGTGTTAATAATTAATTGTTTTAGTACACATCTTCACTTCACATTTTATAAGTAACCAGTGTACAAATGACGATAAAGATTTTACCTATATGGCAGGATTTAAGAAATAAAAAATGTGGACTTACTTTAAGTCTTCTAGACATCTTTCTAAATGTATTTTACCAGCCGTGACTAGTACATGTTCACCTGTCTCCTGAAGTAATACTTGCACACAAGAATCAGCTTGGTTAAGAAGTTTTAAACCTGAAACAAATTCAGTATTAGTCGCATTGAAGAAATCTGAGTGTAATGAAACATAACAATATGTATTTTAGACCACTTATTATAAGGTTTAGTTTCAAATAAAAATTATTATTAATGACCTACAAAGTAGGCAGTGTTAACTAATAAATTAATTATCCTTCACAATAAGCTTCTAAATTTTACCCAATTATACAAGGTGTTCAAATTTAAGATAGCAAATAAATATCATCAGCCAGGGTTGCGCAATAATGGTATTGCGGCTCTGGTCAGGAGCAAAAGAGGGTTTTTTGTGAGGGGAAAATCATCAAACGACTTCTCCCGCCCAGGGCCGGGCGGGAGGGAGTGTCAGACTCTTACTGACTAAAAACCTCCCTGTTCCTTCTCCTGCTCTGGGCCGAGGTCGCGGTGCCTCATTGCGCTTACCCCGCAAGCCCGGCTGAACATCAGCTCTATAGGGCCCCGTCTGTGGTGGTATATTGGCTCTTTGAGGCGCGCGCGGAACGCTACGCGCCGTACGCTCGGGTACGGGATTGGTTTTAGTCAGTAAAATACTGTTACTCTCTCTCTCTCTCTCTCTCTCTCTTTCTCTCTCTCTCTCTCTCTCTCTCTCTTTCTCTCTTTCTATCACTCTCTCTCTCTCTCTCGCTCTACCCCCTTTCAGGCCGGTAAAAGGTATTTATGTAATTAAACTCCATCTCAAAAATAATGTCATACCTTTAACCAATTGAGGTAGTTGTGAAGGGTAAGTAGGTTCTAAAGCTACCCTCAGTATCGGTACTACTGAGTACTGCATCTCACTAAATGCAGGACAAGCTATAGTACTAGATAACGTTGCCGTTCTAAGTACATGGTCTTCTAAACCGCCAATACCTGGAAATAAAAAATGTTTTGATAACCATTCTTAACGTTCCATAATGCGATGATTAAAAAAATTAAACAATTTTCTGTAGGTACTGAAATCGAAGATCCAATATCAGATCAACAATGCAATCTTTACTTGCCAATAAATAAACATCCTTATTCCCGATTACCACTACTCATACTCAATATGGTCGATTTGTACTTACATATATTTAGTACAAATCACATAAAGTTGCGTTCTGCGAGCAATCTTGTGAATATATCATTCTGAGGCAATGATATCTTCACAGAATACTTAACTAAGCGAAATCTTTTTCGTAATACGAGGTACCAATGTCAAGCAATTTATTCTATTTCAATTCTACTACTGAATAGTTAGCATTGCGCTTTAAAATAAATATAACTTTGACAGAGCTGAGGTGTAATACATATCTAGGTAATCATAATGTAATTATAGGCCATGATTTAATACGAATCTAAAAACGGGACGACTGGTATGATACCACAGATGCGTCACAGACAATAGGCGTAAAAACTGCTTGCTGCTTGCTTGCAAAGCAAATGATCTGTGTGCTTGTATGCCGCCATATCCGAAAAAAAATAAGTATGACTCACCAATAATGTTCCCTGCAATTGCTTCATCTATCATTTCTAGTTCACGTCCCATCAAAATATATAGGGATTTTATCCTAAAATAAAGGAATTCGAAATTACAATTAAATTTCATTTAACAATCGCATTAAAATTCTGAAACAACCACAGCGTTGTGTTTCGCTGTGTGTGTGAGGTTACCGGAGGCCCAATCCTTTATAAGAGGGGAGAATGGGGAGGCCATTCTCGTAAATCTCCAAAACCCTCATCCCTAAAAGGTCGGCAACGCACTCGTAACTCGTCCGTTGCGTTTCCATTGGCGGCGTGATTGCTTACCATCAGGTAATACGTCTACTCGATTGCCGACCTAGCAAATAAAAAAATATTCTACTCACTCAGTACAAGTGATATGCTCATCACTCTGCAAGTCTTTTAGTTTCTTATTAGGATCTACTTGGAAGTCTTTACTAAGTACTTTGGCGGGATCATGTTTCGGCCCTAGAACATAAACCTTGGCCCCTTTCTTTACTTTCCCACTAAATATTCTAGCAAATGCGATGAATACTGGCTGGTCTTCTTCACTGGTCTTTTCTACTTCTTCATCTTCTTTTTTGTCTTCTTCTAAAGGAGCAGGTGCTTCAACAATATTGCTCTCCTTCTTTTCGCGCAGCTGTCTCGCTCTTTCCCTTCTCAAAGCCATCTCCTCAGCCGTCAAAACCTTAGGCTTATTCTCTGGCAGTATACTCTTATCAACATTATACATTTTCGATATAAAAATAATTATTGGTCTATCTTCACTACTATCACAGGCTAAAAAGTCTTCCTTTAATTTCTGTGTTTCAGGGAAAAAGGAATTGAAGTCACGTATTCTTGAGCACATTAATTTTTCTACCTTTTCTGGGAGAATTTCTTTCGGCGAAGGAAGTTTTTCGCATACCATGTTGAGTACTGTACTTGACAAAGGGAGCCACTGGACCATTAGGGACTGAAGTTGAACTCTAGAGTCTGTATGTCTCAAATCCCTTGTTGTTAGTTTTATGCCAAGTTTTTCACAAATAACTGGCACTTTTTCCTTTTCATTTCTCATTGCTACTGTTTCATAAACATTCCACAGATTATCTAATATGACTTGAACGAAAAGAGGTTTCTTGGCTTTTTCTTGGGCTCCCTTCATGAAGCGTTTTGTTTTGGAATTTAGATAGAAATCACCCCATAAGACTTTTCTTAAGATTTCTTCTTTCACCCCTGAAATAAGAATAATAAAATTTCATGTCAGATTTGTGTATTGCTATATTGTGGACTTAAAATATCCATTAATTTTTGGTAGCAAGACACAATTAGGAATAACTGGATAATATATTTATTTGGCATAATAATGTCTTTTAACAGTGAGAAAAAATGGTCTTTGGATACTATCCCTATATGAACTAGGTCATAACTTACCAAGTTTGTCAGAAAACAGTTTAGCAAAGGTATGTATGGTAAAACCCCAGCCATCAGCAGCGCTGGCAAACACTACATTGCCATGTTCAGGTGCAAAATAAAGATTGGAGTCATCAGCATCATCTAGAGCAGAGGTCCAATCATAGAAGTTATTGTCTTCTTTTTTCTCTACCTTTTCTTTTTGTTGCTGAAAATAAACAATTAAATTTTTAATCAATAATATATTAACAATATGTATTTTCAATTCTAATAATAAAAATTGCTCTGAGTTTTGGAATGAAACTTTTTGACATACAAAATGTTTCTAAATAAATATGTTTGTATTAATAACAGACAGATCATATTCATAATCATGGTACATTAATGAAATAAAGGTTTTGCAAAAGTTTTGTTCCTGTTCTTTTCATTAGGAAATTGGAAAAGGCTTTTTTTCAAATTTACCTTTTTGTATTATTATTATCGGCCTATAAGTGTTTCTCACAAGGAGAAGGTTCTATATTTTTCCTATATTTTTTTAAATGTAATAGAATATACATTTTTGACTGTACATGGAGATCTTTTTTCTATACAATAATAAAAATAAGTACCTCTTTTTCCATAGTAGACTCCTCATTCTCAAACACTTCAGTAGTAAACAGTTCTGCCATGACTGCATTAACTTGTTCTAAGACCTGCATCAAGTGCACATATGCATCCAATGGTGTAAGCTGCATTTCTAATATGAGCCTGTCTATCTTGTTCAAAACTAACACTGCTCTGATGTTTTCTGAGTATGCTTGTTTGAGTACCAGCCTTGTCTGTGGGCATACACCTTCAACAACATCCACCTGGAATAAAAAGATAAGTAGATTAAATATTGTTGAAACTAATTCAAATTCTTTAGCATCTTCAAAAATTGAATTACAAGTCTTTATTCAAAATCTCTTCAATAAAAAATGGTCCCATTTTTTATTTTTTTATTATTATATTGTCCAATTACCAATTATCTGAATCCTCATTATGCATGAAATTTTGTTTTTTTATTGTGTAAGTCTTCTATCAAAAATCTTTAAGGTAATAAATTGTTTTTGAAAAATTAACATAATTGTGGTAGTAATAACATCATATCTTATTCACTGTTATCAGTTGCACTTTATTTTTCTTAATAGGTATAAGTTCTTTAATATATTGTGAAACCCTTCATCAGCTGCTGATGGGACAAAGAAACTTTTTTGAGTCAATATGAAATATTTTAATTTTGATGAGAATATTAAAATCGGAAGTATTATTTAATATAAAGAAAATTATTACTTGACTTGAGTTCCACTTGCCTGTTATCAAAGTAAACATTCCAATAGGAAAATACTAACAAGAAAATAATATTGTACTCACAACAACAATAGCTCCATCACAAAGTCTAACTGCTGTAGACACTTCACTGGAGAAATCAATGTGCCCTGGTGAATCTATCAGGTTTACCAAGTACTCCTGCTGGTCCACACAGTGGTACAAAGCTATGCTGCTACTCTTCATGGTTATACCTCTCTCCTGCTCGTCAGGCCTGCTGTCCATATATCGCAGCTTCCCCGACATCCGCTGCGATATTATCCCATTGCTGGATATAAGGGAGTCCGCCAAAGTTGTCTTCCCATGGTCCACGTGCGCCACGATACAAATATTTCTAATATTTGTAGGTTTGTTTTGAAGTTCTAAAAGTTTTGAAGAATCGACAAGCCGCATTGTGAAAGAGATCAATTAACTTTTTCGATGTACTTGCAATACAACGTCCTTAGAGTATACTAATAACTAAGAAGCTGTATACTTTAGAAGATATTGCAAAAAATACAAGATAAATTGCACAACATGAGTTAAAAACTTGCACGACAATATTGAATTCGATAGTGACACTGACATTTTAGTTCAGAAATACCGAACTATTTAGCTTTTCCTCGATCTGTTAACTTTCAGATATGTTAAATTATAACTATCAAAATCAAACACATTGGAAATACATGAATTTAGCAAATTTTTTAGATTTCCATTTAGTTAAGTTATAAAATAACCAATTTGCACAACTAAACACGTAGTTAAAATAAAACTATATTCTTCAGTCATTCCTAAACGGAAATGTTAACAGATGTTGACACCAAACACCAACTGACACTGACAGCGTCATTCTAACACTGTAAGTGGAAATTTCGAGTTGAGGTTATATTGTAGTCTAAAACTTAAAATAGATATAAAATAAATGAAATGGCGTTGAATAGATTATTTGCTGGTCTGGCCATTACTCCTAATTTAATTTCAAGGAGAGCTATACATGTAGCAGCGGTAAACTTTGCTAGTCAGCCAGATATCGACAAACCTAAACCTGGTTTGGGCAAGAGTTACAGGCGAATTGTGCATTTTCCTAAAGAATATACTGTTAAACCTCTTGAAGTTACAAACCTAGCTGGTAGAGACCCAGTGTCCGGTGAGTTATAGCTACTTACTTTATCGCTATTTACGGTATCTATGAGTTTTTAAGTCACTGATGATTTTGCACGTAATAATAGCGATTGTACTTCTCCAGGTAGAGTTATTGCAAAGGGTATTGGGGGTGGTATCAAACACAAATTTCATTGGATTGAATGGCTCAGAGATGGACCTAAAGAGGGACCACCACAGGAAGAAAAAGTTATTCAGGTCAGTTTATTTATTATACAACACACAGTAAATATGAAAACAAAATACAGAATCAAAGGTACACAAGTTTATTGTTTAAATATGTTTAATGTATCCTTATATATGAGTTTTTGAGCATTTTTGTTAAATAAATTATTCTCATTTCTGTCTAAATGTTTATCTACTATGGACATTAATATAAAGAATCAATAAACGAAATATATTTTTTAGGTAATGGAAGATGGTTGTAGAACAGCACATATAGCTTTAGTTGCTGTTGGTGACAAACTCAAATATATTCTAGCCACAGAGAATATGAAGGCAGGTGATATCATCAAGACTTCTCGGGAACTGCCTAGGAATCCAGGTATGATAAAAATCGACTCTAAAACTGAAGAAGACCTCAATTCATTTTCAATAAAATTGTGTTTTCTTAATTTGTTTTTCAGTGAGAGCAAATGAAGGTGATGCTTATGTATTAGGAGCTTTGCCTAATGGAACAATTGTTCATAATATTGAAAAAGAACCAGGTGAGCATAACAAGTCTAAAATAATAACTATGTTTAATGGCTTAACCATAGAAATGTTTTATAAAGAATTCAACCCTTTTTAAGTCATACTAGCAGCTGAGTAGGATTGTGCTATACATGATGTACACAAACAAAAATCATACAACTACTTACCTTGATGTGGCTTAAAATTAGTTGTATTCCTCATCAATCAGTTTATGTTAGTCAACCGTTAAATAGTGTCTCACAAAACTTATAACACAAAAACAACTCTATAATCTATATGTTGTATGTTCTTATATTTATTTACTAGCCAAACTCCTATAAACTGATTGTCTTATCCAAATTGAGACAAAAACACATTTTAGAGAAGTTTTGACAAAACCCTGTTTATAGCATCTACAGGAATAATATGAAATCTAGAAGTTGAACTGGTTGCCACTGCTTGTCAAAATGGAGTCTCTTGAATTTATCAGTATAGGTAATAGCCATATTGTGTATATTTATAGGTGAAGGTGCTCTTTACATACATGCTGCTGGTACATTTGGCACTATTCTGCGGAGACAAGATGATCGCATCATTGTACAAATGCCTTCAAAAAGACTGTTCAGCTTTGATCAGCATTGTATGGCAGTTGTAGGTGGGTATTCAACCTATAAGCTTCTTAATATAGTAAACATCAGTAAACCTTTTAGCACATTTTATTATGCAAAATGAATCTTATAAAATCAACAACATTTTTAAGTTTGGTTTTTATTTATCTTACTTGAAGTCTTCATTGTTGGCAAGGTGTTACCTCCCATTTTGAGAAATAATGGAAACTTAAATATTAAATGCATTCAATTATACTTCCTATATGATGTAAGTACAAACCATTGATAAGTAAAGAAAAAAGATTCATAACATATTTTATAGAAAGAGTAACAGTAAAACGGAGTGAATAGGATTTGAGGAGTGAATAAATACTAGAGAAGTTCGTCAACATCTATTCATCCCGTTTTACGGTAATGTGACAATCTTGTAAAGAAAAACTTGCACCAATTATGCCAACCAAAAAAGTAAGAAATCATTAAAATTCACTTCCAGGTCGTGTTTCGAATGTGGACCACGGAGACACTCCGATCGGTTCACCGCAGCGCAACAGATGGCTCGGCAACAGACCTCGCTCCGGTCTATGGCAGAGAAAATCCGGTCGACACGGAAGAAAGATCAAACCTCCGAAACCAGTCAAAGAAATCTGTGCACCAGGGAAAAAGGCCCTGCCAACTATCAACCTGTCTATGCACCCTTAACGTAATATTGTAGAAATAAATATAATTTAGATGTTTTCAAAACCTTTTTATTTTATAATTTTACCTATAGATAAAAACACAGAACAGAAAATTAAGTAGAAGTGCCCCTACACTCTTTCAAAAGGAAAACCAGTGTCGCCAAAATCACACATTCGCAAATCAAATTGTCCATTACACACATAAAAAACAGCTATATAATTGGGTAAAAAGATGAAACGCAACTTTAGCAAATCATCTTTTAAATGTTGTTAAAAATTGAGTCTTATATCAATGAGCGAAAGTTGTTATCATTTCACATGTCACAATCAATAAAGGCGCCTATCGTGTAAAAAACTTAAATAAAACAATTTACAAACGGGTTCAGCCACTCAACGCTAGATGGCGCTGTAACAAATTCATTCTATTCAAAACGCTAACTTCTTTGAAATAGATGTCATATTTGTATGCACTTGTACCAATAGACATTTACTATTTTGCTACTCAGATAGGGCAGGGTATCCCAATATATCGATGTTTTTGTATTCGTGTGAGCAATATAATTTATCGACACGATATACCTACAAATGATCAGTAATGAAAAAGGTTCTAATAGAAAAAAAGAAAAATATTAACATATTTTTTGAAGATTTAATGTTTTTTGGAGATGGTCAAGTTATTATTAAAGATTTCGATTTTAACATATAAAAGCACTACGTGCTCCTACAAGTTTTATCTCCTTTCCATAAATAACGGAGACGAAAAAACAAAAAAAAATGTTACAGTCGAATTGAGAGTCACTCTCCTTTTTGGAACTCTGATAAAAATCATGTACAACATCTATACTTATAATAAATCTGTAGAGGGGTCAATTCTGTACATTAAATATATTTTCAAAATAACTACCAGGGGGTGATTAGTGATCGATACTGATGCCAAAAATGCAATCAGTAAAAATTTTGTCTCTGTCTGTCTGTATGTTCTTTATAGAAACAAAAACTACTCGACGGATTTTAACAAAACTTGGTACAATTATTCTTTATACTCCTGGGCAGGTTATAGGATACTTTTCATCACGCTACAAATAATATGAGCAGAGCAGTGAAGGAAAATGTTGGGAAAACGGGAGAAGTTACTCCCTTTTGTAAGTTTCAGTCGCGTGTGTAACCTTAATGGTTAAACTTACATAGAAATTATGTATGACGGAAATATTTTAAATAAAATTGTCTAAATAAAATGTTTTACAGCATATGTCTATCTTTTATGGTTAACTCACAATAACACGTGTAACTCCTGATAGCTTAGCAATTCGGATAATAAGACATAGCGCCGTCGCAAGTGAACACTGAATCATGGTATAAGAATTATTTTTGTGTAGCGGTTGCCGTGCTCGACACGATGCGGTATAAAATATAATATAATATAGGTTTTATCAAATATTTGTAACTCTTACCTATTAGTTAGATCCGTGCCTTTCTATCTATGGACGGACGGACTACGGAGACTTAGTAAGTAATAGGGTATTTACCCATTGGAGATGTACCCATAAAAATGAGACGATAAATACCAAATTTTATGTATACTTAGATTTTGTTCTATTGCTATTTGCTGCTTTTTATCAACACAGCACGCGGGCGAAAACTAGTTATAAAATAAAAATGGTGATTAACCACCCGCACCTGCCACAGACGGATGCACGCTGTGTGTGGTTAAAACGTTGATGTGTCTATGCAATCTTAGTTAAACATTTATGAATTATACACAAAAATTGTCAAAAATCAATTTTCTGAACGATGATGAAAAATTATCGATATGAACCTATTTTACGAATATGTCGCATCCCTAAATGAGTAGCGTCGAAACTACTAGAATGTATTGTATATAACGTCACATAACGAACAAGTAGATTTAAACTTAATTGTAATGAAAATAAGGCCCTTTATAGTTTGCATTGAAGTAATGAAATGTGATATTTACATTAAAATCAAATATATTTAAAATTAACAAAGGTTAATACTCAAAGATAATACGATACACCACCACAAGACTCATCTTTTTTTCTGCTTACTTTTTTGCAGTTGAAAACCGCACAACAAGGCATAATTTCTAATATATTTCGTGTTTCTTAGAGACAACCATGACAACCAATCATGACAACGGATCGAACGATTCTGACAACAAATGTGCCAAAATGTTGTATATCTAGTCATGATGTTGGTTAGCGCGCGATGTCTGAACGGCACTTCCACTGTATTTTCTATTCCGTGGATAAAAATATCACAACATACAAAGCAGCGCTTTTGTGCTATATTAATTACATAGTTTATTAATATTCAATAATTTTTATTTTGACACGAAACAGCTTGCTATAGTCTTAATACTTACGAGTAAATGCATGATTAATTCAGCATAGAATGATAAAGAGATTAAAAATATAAATATTCATAACTTGGAATTCCACTATTTCAATCTTCATCTTCATCCGAAAATGTTAGTATCTGAAACAAACAATAATGCTTTACAAAATTGTATATTATGTCTCATGAAAATCGTAACTAGAGTTGCCCTACTACTTATCGATATTTTAGTTAAACTAGTCAATAATATCGATATCACAAAGTAACTATTACTAACTACATAATAAGACTATCAATGGTATCGTTGTATTAAATAGATCGATAGTTTGTAAAACAATCGATAGTATTAAACCATCGATAACTTAATAACCGCCAATAGTGTCGAAACTGACAAACTTTTTAAGGTGCAAAGTGGGTATTAACCCGCTCGCCATTAACTATAGTTTAAAAAGTTTAACTAGTTGTAACATGAAAATAGTATTTATATTGCTTACCGCAGCTTCGTACTCAACAGAGTCATTAAAAGGCTAATCAAAGCAGTACTTTGAAATTATTTTGCGAAACAACATCGTTACTTGTATAAATACCTCTGAGTATGGCAATAAGACACTTAAAATGAAGCAAGACCATGTGACAAAACAAAATCATCTAAAGAACTTACATCAGTCATTTCCGCAGTCAAATGCAGTTCATTCAATCCGGTAACCTCTTCCAAATAGTTACCGCTGTTGAAGACATTGAGTAAGAATTCTATACCTTTTTCTTTGTACTTATTAATCACTGTTTCAGAGCATGCAATGCATTGTTTGAATTTGGCACAAGTCGGTGCTACCGTTTGGTATGAGTGGAGAAAGCCTCTAATTGAGTGAGGTATTGGACCTAGGACGCCCTGCATCTCTGGCGGTATGTCTTCTGTATCGCTGTTTAAGTTGTATACTGCTGGGGCGTTGTTTCTGGAAAATAATTGTAATAACATCATCGATCACTAGCGTACACAATTGTTGTATGCTGTCGTGCTGAATCAATGAGTATCAATATTGTCATAACGAACTATGGTACGTATTCTTGGTATTATTTTAGATATAGAAATGGTCCTAAGGATGTAACGATATTTACATCTTAACATCTACCTATACTATCTTTACTAATATTAAAAAGCAGTATAGTTTGTATATTTGTTTGAAGCTGCTCTCCAGAACTACTGGTTAGAATAGAACAATTATTTTTGTACTTGTTAGTCCATTTATCGAGTAAGGAAGGAAAAGATAACGTTACGGTCTGTAGAAGCCTAGCAGCAGGTGAAACGGCGCGAGAGTAGCTAGTAAAATCTATAATTATATACATATATTTTTTTATTTTGAAATATATACTTAATCAGTTATGGACCACCAAAATGTACCTACACCTATCGATCATCGCCCATCGACTGACTGAACCGAATTGGATATAATGTTCTGTAGTGTTTGGTATCGCGGTAAAGACACGGTTGGTGGAAAAAAAATCGATACATTAACAGATAGCTTAAAAAAATAGCACGCAAGCGAAGCTGAGGCGAGCAATTGGTCTGTTAAAACTTACGTGTTGAAATTCTCTAGGATACTATTAGGACAAATAGGGACTCTATTTTCAAATGAGTAGGGTTCAATTATTGGATAATTACCTGAGAGGATGTTGTAATAAACCGACTAGAATCTCTACGGCAAGTGCACCTGCAATCGCCGCCACGCCAGGGCGGGTCACCGTACATTGTTGATCTAAGGTGCGATCTTTTAACGACTGAAAATAAAAGAACAAGGAGCTTTTAATTTTATTCGTTTGGCATAATGTCTAAAATCTATTGAGGAATACAGATTCGAAAACGTTCAATATTAGGGTTGAATATAGGTTGATAATTAACATATATATCGTGGAAACCTAACTGACATATATGCAACACGCAGTAAACGCCTCTTTAATTTTGAAGCTGAGTTGTTTTTTTATCGTGTAATGTATACCTTGTATACCTAACACCTTGTGTACCATGTATACCTAACACCAAAGAAACTGAATAAATTGTCTTATCTAACTTTCTATCCCTTTTCCTAGGAATATTATAAATAAAGGGACTCACATTGCCCGGAGCAGTGACGTCATTACAAAAGTAACACCCAAGACTGCCTCCAGGTATCCAGGTGGTGGTAACAGAGGTTGATTCTTCTGCAGGGGACCCAGCTATGCCGTGCCGCATTACTAGGTAGCTGTCAAAACCTAGAGCCGCGTTGATGACTATCTGAAAAACACGTACAATGATAAATTAATTTATACCTAAATGAAATAATGATTAGTCGGATTTACCACTGGCACAAAACTTCAGAGACATAAAGCAATGTTGCCAAGCAAAGGATTTTTTTTGTCGTATTTTTTTTATTCTAGTTTCGGGAAACCTCCAATAGAATATTCTCCTGTGTCGAGGGTGCATTAACAAACATACTATTTCACAAACACATAATACTATGTATTTACATACTGCAGGATTCTTTAAATATAAAGATATTTCGGCATGAAGTTGTGGGCTTAGGCAGAACTTTTGTAGTTTCAGAAGTATGTTTATGATGGAGCGAGAGGGAGTGTCAGACTCTTAATGACAAAAAATACCCCGTTCTTTCTCCTAATCCGAGCCGGAGTCGTATTTGATTACATTATTGGTTACGTTATTGATTACACCCATAGTCCCGGCACGTCTACTGTCATTTAAGGGCCAGTTTTCTTCCATATAAAGTACCTACATAATAAATTTGATAGTGTTTTTCTTAAATGTTGACCCATATACTGTGATTTTCTCCTGTGTTGTGGGTGTGTTTTAAAACATACCTACTATTTATATAACATACACATCACACCTAAAAAACAAGTTATAAGGTATACCGTTGTCAATTCATTGCCTCAACCATGCAATCAAACGTTACAACATTCCATGTTGACATAAACAATCTATTTCGTGGCTGTAGTAAATGACTTTTCCCTTTTTTAGGAGTGACAGACTCATACTGACTAAAAACCTCTTCGTTCCTCCGGCTGCTCTAGGCTGAGGCCGCAGTGCCTCATTGCGCTTACCCCGCTACCTCGGCTAAACATCAGCCCTATAGAGCCCCGTCTGCGGTGGTCTTTTGGCTGTTTGAGGCGCGCGCGGAACGCGACGCGCCGTACGCTCAGTTCTGGTTCTGGTCGGGCAGCGAGCAACTCTTATTTGCCGTCGGCTGTCCAGTGACTGTGAAATTAGCTATAAGTGCATTGTTAAAACCATACCTTTCCATAATGAGCGGCTATAAGCGTTGGAAGCCACCGTGCTTCCCTCGTATCCAAAAGAAGGAATATAACATCATGTTCGGCTATAGCCTCCGTTATAATTTTTATATTATTGATCGTCTCATCCTTCAATGACTCGCCTACAGGATGTCCAGGCATAGGTATGTGAGCTACTATGCCTTTGCTTACCTAGAAGGAAAATAATAATCAAGTCAAAAAGCTTGTTGCTAAGTGTAGAAAATGTTGAATGATGACATACTTAAAAATAGCAGTCTTTTAAAACAATGTCTAATTCATAATATTATCATGAATTAGACATTGCAACTTATAAGAAAACGTATAAGAAAAGTAGTAGCACATATAAAATAACCCCCTTCATAAAAATCTTATTTCGACTAGTTTCGAGCCACGCCAGGGCTCATACTTATTTTGAAAAACGAACTTGTTAAATAATTCGTAAGTAGATGTAAATACATACAGCAGTTGGCAGTATATTCTTCAAACCATCAGCGGCCGCCTCAGCTTTCTTTTTTCCACCATTGAGGCAGTCTTGGAAACTGAACAAAACCTGCCGCGTTGGGTTAGAATATGATACTTTTCCATTGTCTATAAATGTAATGTGACGGAATCCCCAGGCCTGAAAAAAGTTAAAAAGTAATAAATTTTATGATTTTAGATTTTTTAGTTAACGAGGGTTGAGCATTGAGTTCTAGGACTCATAGAAAAAAAAATGTAATATGTGGCTTGTTTACATTCAGCTAACCCTTGGTGGTAAAAAAACATAAGTAGCTATGGTAAGTCTAGGATAAGCTACTTTTTACCTTGACACTGAGGGGAAAAACGCTGTTAAAAAGAAATATGAATTACGTGTTCCTTACCAATAAATCCCTGGCTACATGACAGCCAAGTGTACCTGCACCCAGAAGCAAACATTTTGTTTTTTTCATTATATCAACATCTATATCTGGTACTAGACGCCATTTCATCAGTTTTATATTCAGATCTGAAGCTGTGTCAGCCAATCTGAAATAAACGAAAGATGTAACAGAATTAATAATATTATATTCTTTACATTTGTGATAATATTATTACCTATTATGTGGTGTAGAAACTACAATCTCTAAGAAAGGCCAGACTATACCGTCGAGTGCCCAAAGCGCAGCTAAGTGATTAAGTTAAGTGTGGAAGAGCTATTCTTCGCCATAAATAGGTCTACTCGGCCGAAGTGATACCACGGCCTCAAAGTAAACTGGTGTGACTGTGAAGCAACGCAAATACCGGCAACAGCGCCAAACTTAACCCTAAAAAATTCTTGGCCGTCGCCGATTTCGTGATACTCTTGATCAACAGTCGTTTGATTTTGATTATGTTTACTCATCTATACTAATATTATAAAGAGGTAAAATTTGTAAGTTTGTATGTAGGGGATAATCTTTGGAACCGCTGGTCGGATTGCCAAAATTATTTCACCGATAGATAGCTACAATGTTCCTGAGTGCTGTAGGCTAAAACATCGCGCTACGATTAAATGGAGCCGAGCAGCGGGTGAAACCGCGCGAGATAGCTAGTGTAGGATAATTGCAAAAAAACACAATAACACCTACATTGCAAAATGGTGCTACGAAAGAACAAAAGTCATGGTAACATACTTTATTACTGTAATACAGTGAAGTCAACATTACTCTTACTCTTACTATAAGCGGAGATAAACTAGCAGACTAAAAATTTTACTTACATCACAGGGTCAAGAGAAGCAGACATGTTGGCCAGCTTTGGTCCAAAATTTCCTTTATCATTTCTTTCCCATCCCACCCAGCCAGCAGCATCCACAGTCTTAACATCCTAAAAATATATATTTTAATCATCAATTCAACATGCTGGAAACAATTACAAGACTGTTTAAAAAAAAATAACTGACCTTCGGTACCACCACAGTAAAACTTTTACTGTTTTCTACACCACCAGTTGCACTACACCTCAGACCTATAATTTTTATCTCAGATCCAACTAAACTTGGACAATGTTCCAACAAAGCCGCTAAAAACAATCGCAACGGCCATCCAGGATTATTCCCACTGCTTGGATCATTGAATACAAAATAAGTACAAGATAAATCCACATCTTTTTGTAATCCTTCCTTTGAATCTAATAGATCTGACAATGTTTTCACTTTTATATTGTCATTGTCTTTGGTTATAGAGAAGAAGCATTTCTGTTCCAATTCTAGAGATTTGTAGCTCTGTGTTATTTCATTTATTTGGTTGGTATCAAAATGTGTTGAAATGTTAGTGCTCTTTTCTTTTACATATACTGTGGGCTGACTAGGAGCAGGAAACGCAAACCAGTAATAGTAGTGGAATTTCTTGAGATCCTGAAAAATGGATAAATGGCAAATTAGTGTAGGTATATTCATTTCTGTTTAGAAATATGCAGTTTTAAATAAATTTTATATGATAGAGTGCTGACAATGTAAATATCAAAAACGTTCTTTGTGGGGAGGAGTATATTGGGATTCCTAGTAGTTTTTTTTGTGAGGGCAAAATCACCAAATGACTTCTCCCGCCCAGGGCCGGGCGGGAGGGAGTGTCAGGCTCTTTGCTGACTAAAAACCCCCCTGTTCCTTCTCCTGCTGATGATAGTTTTACCCTCTGGGGTGGCAATAACAATAATAAGCCCACAACATCTCACTTAACTTCAGATGGAAGTAAATATGGCAGAAAGTTGATTGATCCTGATGACATGTAATCAACATGATCAATAAATTTTCTGCTATATACTGTTATTTCTGCACCTTCAGGGCATAAAAACTTAATATTCCTGTAAGGCCTTTGTTACATATGTATGTATACTATGTGTGTTGGTACAAATAAGTATTCACTTACAGCAAACGACAATATGATGAACTTTAACAAACTACTGGGCACTGAAATCCATGATTTATCTTGAAGACTAGTCCACAGCACTTTTCCAACTGAATTCAATAGAGCAGCTTTATCTATAGATTTAAATTCTTCTATCGTATTCTTGTTCATTATTGTACCTTTAACATTTGTGTATAGCTGTTCATTTTCTGGAACCCTGAAATAAATATTGCATGTGTAAAATAAATTTGAATTGGAATTAAAAATATATACTTCTAATATAGTTTGTAAAAGCATTGATAAAACATTATGACTGTTCCTGAACAAGATTATCTGTGGTTTTGTTGGTGGGGCTAGACTTTCCTTTATGGACCGTCGAGTTGAGCGTTCATTTTTTTTTTGTAGATAGTACACATTAACAGAAGGCTTTTTACAAATTTTTATGTTGCGGAAACCCACGGTTTACGAGATATAATTATTTAAAAATTGTAAAGTCTATTGAAAAATTCACGCCAAATTTGACGTTTCGCGTGTTGTTGACTTCTTTTTTTTTTTTTTGGAGTATTCCTATTGAATATAGGTTATATTGAAATAATTAATACATTGTCTTTTGGCATAATGTTTTAATGTGCTACAAAAGTTAGTGACAGAAATGAATTGCTGCGAAACCGACTTTACGTGGTCTCTTTTCTGCCCTACCCCGAGAGTGTTTTTTAAATTCGCGAAGGCGCGGAGGGGCGGGGCGGCCCGCGAGCTGAGGAGCAGGTGGTTATAACGCACATCGCCGTGGCTGAGGCTGGCCGGCGAAGCCGGCCAGCAAGCCGAAGCCGCGGTGATGGGCGTAAAACCATCTGCGACGATTAGCTCGCGTGGGACCGCCGGAGCCCCGCAGCGCCGGAGCCGTGACAGAAGCCATGCCTGCTGCATGTTGCAAACCACCCAGAAGTAGGAGCCCGCGTCGACTTTGCCTATTAAGTGACTTTTTGTGTTTTGAGGTAAGGTTATAAAAAATCGTGTTTCTCGGCAACTGTGAGTTGCCTTGTCATGGGAGTGGTACTGGGGGAAGGGGGCATCCTCCCCACTGCGGTACGATTCTAAAGTTATACATACATACATACAAACTATCCGAAAAATCTTTCCTAACCTCAAAATTTTAACAAACTTTGACCATGGATATCTCCGTAACCATAGGGCTCCGCGGGGTGGGGATGGGCCTGGGGGGTAGTCCTCTCCCTCCCCCTCCCCCCTCCCCCCATTTTGACCCCAAAATCGACGGTCCATAAAGGAAAGTCTAACCGTTGGTGGTTTGAATAAACAATAAATAAGGGTAGTATATTGATCATTAAGCAAAATAACGACTACTGAGGCAAAAGAAAGATTAAAATTGCTACATACTTGTTAAACGACGTGCCATCAACTTCGAATACGGCTCCTATGTCACTGCGGTAAGTAAATCGACCCCAAATCTGCTTCGTAGTCTCGTTCAATTTATCAACATCGAGTTTCATCTCTGTAAGACTATGCCAGAAAGATGGGTGTACAAACGACATAAACGGCACATATTGTATTATTTCTTGCTGACTCTCCGTAGCTGACATTTTTTTCTAATAAAAGTCTGAGACTACAATTCTTGTAAGCTAATTAAAATTCACTTTTTGAACATTTATCATTACAATGCAAACAACAAGCAAAACAGTTGTGGTTTTGAAAGTCATTTGTCAATGTCATCAGAGAACAAATGTCAATTAGCAGCTGTCACTAGGCATTGATACAATTTCGTACTAATTTCGGTTTATTTCGGAATTAATTGAATCACAATTTTTAAATTGAAAAGTCGTGCTTTCACAAACTTCACTGAAGGAATAACCAAAAAGCACTAAGTTTAGAAATAACCTTAACATACTTACTGTATACTTATTATGATATGTTGCATCGAGATTTCCGCTACCTCATACTATGTATTCTAGTGATCTTACTAATCAGATTATTCTGTACAATGAACACTGCAATGCTGGCAGTTAATAAAATACCTATTAGTGTTGTATTTTTTTTAATACATGATTTTTACTGTATTCGAAATGCAGGATGTCAATTTTACATGATAATGTCAATGGCTTATTTTATAATTTCTTTGATTGGCTTTTAAAATAAATTTCTTAACTATAAGTGTAGTTCCATGTAGAGGGTGGTTTTATTTTGGTCTCTGCGGTCAGCAGTCGAAATTATTGTGATAAAATCTGTAAGTAAACAAAATATGTAACAACTTTACTCGCTACTTTTTACTTTGACAATAAAATGTACCAGTGGATATCATAGGTAGGTACCTGCTGGTACAGCTTAGAATAACAACATCTTGGCACAGTAGATAATATTTAGGCAGTTGTGTTTTTTGCTATATTGTAGGTTTGAATAAGTAACATTTAGCTATTTGGTTACTTCCGAAATTCAATGATTGGATTGTTTCAGATTAGTAGATTTTGTTTACCTTTCATCAGAATCTAACCCAAAATAAAACATGACAGTAAGTTCATTCGACATTATGTGTGATAATAATAAAGTGCCAATGGAATCGTCTTGTCCAGCAGTTAGTTCGAAAGGAGGCAATACATGTCGATTTGTTAAAATAAATATAGCTACGGACAGAAGCTTGTCAAGCACTGCCAGTAAACGTAACAATAAATCTAAAAAGTACACTGTGTCTCCATATCTGCCAAGCGACCGAGTTCAGTTACTTTCAAGAGTAACAGAAAAACGAATGGTCCACAAAAAAACAACTGATATTGTTTCGTCATTTCCGTTGGCTTTTAATATATACAAAGCAAGTTCTGATGAATTCAAATCACCAAAAAAAGTTAAGAAAGTTAAAAAATCAGTGCTTACTCTTCCAAACGATCCGGCCCCAACGCCACAAATATGCACAGTGAGCGATATGAATGATTCGGAATATTGCGAAAAAATTAGCCAAGATCGAAAACAAAAAGTCATAAAAAAGCGTAATCCAAATCAAAATAATAGGAAGATTAGAGTGAGACAAAAAGATTTAGAATTTTACGACAGAGACGCACGATTTTGTTCACAGCTAAACATAGATCTAGATTGTAGTTCGACAGACATGCTCAAAAATTTTAATGGAGACGGTACTAAAGTATTCTCTAAGAAGAAAACAACATTTAATAAACCGCAATTAGATGCACCTGGCAACTTGAGTGATGTTTGGACTGTGCTTAGAAATATCAATAAGTTTCAATTTAGGCCGTCGCCTCCAGCCTCAGAAGAAAGCACCACACCAATGAAAAAGAAATCACAGAAAAGAAGACCAAGTCGTAAAGACGCACGGTATGTTATATACTTTTATAATAAATATTCAAAAACATTTTTAATTACATTTAACATACTGTTTCAGAGTGATTGAGACTTGTCATACTGAAGAGTTTGCATACATATCTAGTTATGAAGTAGATGATAAATCTCACCGTACTTTCTCACCATCCTCTAGTGCAGACCGAATCACGGTTATTGACAAACAAAGTGAATTTAGCAAAATATGCAAAGAATTTGAAAAACGACTTACCCACGATTTTGTTAAAGACAATAGTAATACTGGTAATCCGAAAATTAAAAGGCGATTAAGAAGCCCCAGAAAGAATATGAAAGCCTTAACTAATATCGGAGCAAAAGAACATAAACCTACTTTGAAAAAAAAGAAGAAAAAAGCGAAACGCCCTGTCGATGAACAAAGTAAAAGTGCACCAACTAATAGCAGCGGAAATAGAGATTCTCTATTGGATGCTGAGACATTAAAAATCTATTGTAATTCCGATGTATCGTCAAATAACGCTAAATTTAATGACAGTACATGCCGTATTGACGGAAGTTTCGTTTATTCAGATTATTCAGGTTCAAGCAAAGCTGAACTTTCTCAAAAACAGGATAAACTAGAAAATTTCGGTAAATTGACTTATGTACCTTATTTATCCGCAGTTTAGAAATTGTTACATAAGACTCCGTGAAAGCCAGCGTAAGCGTGCGCCTGACCCGAACCAGACTCGAGCGTGCCTCATAGAACCCATAGACCATCACAGATGAGGGCTAACATTGCCAATGCTAAGCCGCGGTCGCGGGTCAAGCGCAATAAGCTACCGCGGCATCGTCCCGCAGCAGGAAAAGGAACGGTGGGGTATTTAGGCACAGAGTCTAATACTCCCTTCCGCCATACCTTGGTCGAGAGAAGTCATTAGATGATTATCCCTCCACAAAAAAGACTGTAAATATGGCACAGTCTTATTCAACAGAAACTACATACAGGCAGATACTAACAACATTATCATTTGTTTTCAGAGAAAACAATAGCAATTTCCAGTTCTCTATTAAATGGCTCAACTCCGGTAGCCGTGAATAAAGACCAATTTTTGATTGCTAGTTCAATAGCGCCTAAACAATGTGATCTACCGAAAAGGAAACCACGATTGGTCACGACAATGCCTAGTTCCAATATAATGCCAAAATTAACTCAAACTGAAATAAAAAGGAGATTGGCAAATATTAGGTTTCCAATAGTCATCTTAGGAAAAGATCAAGTCAGTTCAGGTATAAAAGTAATGGATCACGATCCCCCACAATTCGGTGGCTTAGAAGACCACATATGGCCATTTATGGTGGATTGGTCTACAACTACTACGAAAGATGCCACGCATAAAGATGTCACCGTAAACAAAAAAAATGTTTCTGTTGTGTCAGACACAAATTCAATCAAATCGTGCCAAGCCAGTACAGAAATGATCACACGCAATCGATCACCGGAAATTTATAAAGAGAAGAAACGAATTATTATTGAAACAGCTTCTACAAATAAAGGGAAGATTGAGGTTAAAAAGCCACCTTCTCCAGATATTTCTGATAAGATATTGCAATGTTCCAAGAAGCAAAAATCTATAGTACAATTGAAAGACAAAATGTTGAACTTTTTATATAAGAAGACATCTAACCGAACCATTAATCCTAAATCTGATCAAAATGCTCAAAGCAAACCCAAATGTCCCGTTATCACTGAAAAACAATTTGTTGGCACTGAAATTCAACTGAAGCCTACAAATCCTTCAGTACTTAACGAGGTGACTAAGAAAAAATATTTTCCCAGCTCGATTCCAACAGTGGGAAGAAACAGGAAACCCCAAAATTATACATATCCTTGGGCCAAAGCGAAATGGGCAAGTGACTTCATAGAAAATGTTATTAAGAAAATACGAAACGGAGTTTATTACAATCAAGAACTAAAAGATTTTAGTCAGATATTTCCAATGGGTAACATTAAGATTTTGAATAATATAATTATCTAATAAAAAGTAGGTATAGATTTATTGGTATCATTTTTTTTTAGATTTCAAAGAAGTTTCAGTACAAGTTGGATCATCGTGCGATTCATCAGATTTTACACAAACTTTTGATGGTGATACAGATCCTTTGCAAGATCTTATAGAACCTCTTGGTATACCAGGTTTTAATCAAACACTACCCGTACTTGAAGTCAAAACACTAAACGTAAACCAAATTACAGTAAAACACCGTGTTACAAATGTTATGATACAGTTTGACGTAACAGTTCCAGCTAAGAAGACCAGAAGAGCCAGTAGCTTCACTAAAGCTTTACCTTTAATTCCATTAGAGGTGACCAATAGTCATACGAAAGTATACAAATGTAAAACAACTATTTTCAATGGAATGCTACCTGCGGAGATATGCAGCATTCTACCGAAAATAATGAACAATATCATCCATTCAACAAATAAAAACATAAGCACAGATCGCATTTTTCCAATATGTGCAACAAAAAACGAGTCTTGTTTATCCACAATAACAGAACAAACTCGGTTTGAGAATGCTGAATCCTTGAGTCTCAAATTATTAAATAGTAGCCTAACATCAAAATTGAGAATTGTTAAGGGATGTTTCCCAAATAAAGTGCACATTAAACCGATTGTTCAGAAATGCGTTTTACAAATTGATTACCACAATTGTTCCGTGGCAGATCTATTACCCCAGGTTTCATTGGATGATTTACTTCAGTATGAAGTGGGTCCATTAGCTGTTGAACTGGACACTTGCAAATATGCACAATCGCAATTACCTTCAAACAAACCTCAAGAGGTGTTAAGTGTTACTGATGTCGTGCCATCTACTTGCACTACTTTGGCAATATACACTGATAATAGTAGTAGCACTGACAAAATTACGGCGGTTCCTTGGTGTTATGATCTTACGGATATGATGAAAAATATACTGTGTAATTATAACTTACAAATACAGTTTAATTTAAGCTCGTATTTTGAAACGGTTAAACTGCAATATGATGGTCAAAATGTTAAACTAAATTTGTTGATCACTAATTACAATAGTGTACAAAAAAATGTCGCGGTGACTGTAAGCAACGTAAAAATTGCTTCACTGTTTAAAGCTTTCCATAAAAGCAACGTCAACAAGAGAGTGCGGAGCAAAGCTCCTTTAAAATGTATAGAATACGTAAATACAGCTTTAGCGAACAGAACGAAAAGCACCGAAGTAAACCAAGTCACATTTAACAAATTCAAAAGGAAAGGATTACATAGACTTTATAGAAAATGTAAATCGACAACTAATTTACCGTTATCAGGAGACAAAAATCCTAATACACCACTAAATAAAATCACAACTATGGATGAATTCTTTCAAGTTCTTGGTTCCAAGAAATTGCTTTCTAGTGTATTTGATGGGTATTCTTCTGAGAAAATTTTGACTTCTATAATGGAGGTACGCAAACGTCATTATTTTTATAAAAATTACATAAGTACCTACCTTATAAAAAGTCGTTTAAAATTTAAATTCTATTTTTTAATAAACAGATGAAGAATTGGATAACCGAAATAAGTGCGAAGCAGGCCTTACTGATATTATTACTAACAAATAAGAAGGAGACGCCTAATTTAGTGCGATTCAGGCCAATAATTCTGCAAGGCATCGCAGTAAACAGGATCACTCGTGCTACTGAATTAGACATGGAGATTGAAGTCATAGAAAGAGAAAATTTAAACAAATTTTCGCAGGTAGTTTTCCACACAAACATAACGTATGGAAAAAATATTTATACTTATAGTAAAGTATGCTTTATGATGATTTTTTACCTGAGTGCAACTAGTAGCTCTTGTGTCTGTAGTTTCTCACACTAAAGTTTTTTATTCATGTGTTGGTACATTTTTTAAATCCTATGGTAAAATGGGGCAGCTGTTAGGTTGGAAACAAATACTAAAAAGTTTCATTCTCAGCTCATTAACAACCCTGGCGGTGACCATCATCACCATAGCTATCCCTTTGTCTGTCTCTGTCTAGTCTCCCCAAGAACCGTTTAAAAAAAACGTTGTACGGGTACCGCTCTCCTATTTTCTCCTCAGTCGTGGGTAAACTTACAAACATACAAATTCACATACACAAGCCACTTAGACCCGAAACAACAATTTGTGTCACACATAGTGTTCGTCCGGGCGGGAACCGAAACCGCGACACGTCGCACAGCAGCCAGTTGCCCAGCCACTACGCCAATCGTGCAGCCATTACGACATCTCCAAGCCCTATTTTTTAATCATTTATTCACTGGTATATAAATATTTATTTCATGACTTTTTTTCTTAGTTCGAAGGAATATCTTACTTGCCGGCTTCTGTCACGAACTACGACAATCTTCTAGAAGAGTTGTATTGGATAGCTAAGACTACTGTAAGATGTTTTTATTGCTTTTTTTCACGTAGATATGACAAGAATGTTTAAATATCGAAACTGATAGCACCATCTGTCTAAATGGAGTTTAGTTTTGTTCCATACCTACCAAAGTTAGTGTTTTCTCATTACAAAGACTATAAATATATTTTTTGTAACAGGCTTCGGATTATCAAAGACCTTTTGATGAGTCTTCAGAAAGGCTTTTGAAATCTTTATTGGAAAAACGCAAGAAGCTAAATCCTTCGTATCTTCGAGTAATGGCACGCTATGTGGGCCTAGGACTACTAAAACCGCCAGCAAAATGTTAAAATTGAAACGAGTGTTGTTTAACTTTTTTGATGGACGTGTGTGGCCGGTCAGAAATCGATGGAGTGGTTTATGAGTAATATTTATTTTATATATTTATTTACGTTAATAAACTTTTTAAAACGTTACTAAAATGCAGTTTTTCTTGAATTATTCTGCTCAAGACAAGTTACCTTCGTAATTTTTAGCCACAGCAAAAAAGTAGGTAATGTAGGTACCTACTAACTAGATCTTGTTTAAATTATTTGAGTTTAAAGTTCGCATGGTAATGAATGTACAAACCTATTATTACACCATTATTTTCATTTTAATTTCTTCGGCATGGCATGTCGATGTCGGGTGCGACTTAATGCTACTTTTGAATTCTCTCGCACTAACTATGCAGTTAAAAAAATGTTAGGAAGCAGAAATATCATTATCATGGATTAGGTTATATCTTCTTATAATTATATAAAAACTAGCTTTTGCCCGCGACTCGTTCGCGTGGAATAGTGACTTTCTGCAGATTTTTGGTATAAAAACTATACTATGTCCTTTCTCGACTTCCAAACTATGTGTATGTAGTAAGTGTGGGAGAGTCATGCTTCGGCTCGAATGGGTCGGCTCGACCGGAGTGATACCACGGCCTCACAGAAAACCGGCGTGAAACAACCACAGCGTTGTTTCGCCGAGTGAGGTTACCGGAGGCCCAATCTTTCCCCTTCCCCAATCCCTAAATCTCCAAATCCCTATAAGGTCGGCAACACACTCGTAACTCCTCCGTTGCGGATGTTCATGGGCGGCGCTGATTGATTACCATCAGGTAATCCGTATGCTCGTTTGCCGACCTATTACATTCGGTTCAGTAGTTTAGGCTTAAAGAAGACGAGAGTTATTTTCGCATTTATATTTGTTGTTAGTCTCGCTAAAACTGGAAAAAGGAGGGACAAGGCTTATCGAGGTCTTGAAATATTCCTTGATATACAAGGAAAGCTTAAAAGGTCAGAAAATATGACTAGGTATATAAAACATATTAAATATTAGTCAGGTATATTTTTGAAGTTGAAACGAAGTTTGCCGGGTCATCTATACTAATCAATAGGTATATTATACCTAATTATTATAGGTACTAGCTGACCCGCGACTACGTTCTCGTGGCTTGCGTACATACTATCGCAATTTTCTTTCAAATTTCTGCGATATTTAATTTTATCGTTCTTCTGCGTAAATGATATTTTTTATGTTATTTTCTTGTGGCAAAAGAAAACGCGTATTTTCCGCAACCCAGTCTGAACAACGCGAAACGAGGCCGTGTAAAAAGCAGTCTCGTAAATCGATTCCTACGTGTATTGGCTAGTCTTGTAAATAGATCAGAAATCATTCATATAAAATTAATGATTTCTGATTAAAAAGGAGAATTGCTTGGTTGTAAATAATAAGATAATTAGATTTTACATTTTTTTATTGTGTAAAGTAAATTACTTTTGTGGCGCACTCTGGTTGGAGCTCTTGGAGTCGCGCATTGAAGCCGAACGCCTGCGTTTCAGTTCTTCTTGGCGCCTTACCTGTAATAGGAGAATCAATAATAAGAAAAATTCACTTCAAAAATTTGACTTCAAATCAATATGTTAATAAAATGTTGCTGATTTAATACCTTGGTCTGTATTAAAGACACACCAAGGGGTAAGACACAGCCATCACTCTTACAGCCAAGTAATATTTCTACAAATATAGTTGTAGTCATTATACCAGCTGTTTTAAATCAAGTAGCCATATTATTGAGCATCATGGATTCTTTAACATTCTTAAAAAAAAACGCTCATTTTTGTTTTTTTTATCACGAAATGTGTAATTATTTCGTAGATACTGATGATCCTGTTAAAAATATTGGATAAAACAGAAAGTGATATATACCTTAGATTCCTTCTTTCTCTGTGCGAGCAACTTAGCATACTCGTTCTCAGACTGCTTGCGCTTAGCCAGACGCTTCTTCTTGAGAGCCAGACGGTGGCGTCTGCGCTGCAGCACTACGGGGGTGACTAGCCTCTGGATTTTAGGGGCCTAGCGAGAAAAATAAACTTTATAATAATTTTTCGTGACAAGTTGATGTTAGGTACTTTTTTTCATTTTCAAATAATAAATTGTAATATGTAATTTTTAATATCAATGTTTAAAGATAAACATTTATGATACTTAGTACGATCTTAAGATTTAAAAGAAAATGTTCAGCACACTGTAAAAGTAGACAGACACGAGTCTGAATCTTCTGCTCGGCGCCGATATGATATACCCTGATGCTGCTGTTTCCAAACTAAAGAGTTTAGAACCAATATTTAAATCAGGGAGTAATTTCTTAAATTACATGGTTGTTTTTTTTTTATATAACTTTGCTGTAGCTGTAGTTTCTGTTAAAGTCTTGCAGAAACTAGAAAAGCTGCTGTTGCAAGCATGTCACTAATTTTGAATGAATGGCAAGATATGAAATATTAATTTGGTACCTATTACAAAACTGAAGAATTTGAACTTGTACCATCTTATAGTGCCATGAATGATCAAAAGGATAAAATAATGATTGATAAATTAAAATATAAGGCGAAATAACGATAGATTCCGAAAATTTAATTCCTATGCAGAACTATTGTTTAAGATATGGGCTGCATATGTTTGTGAAAGTATGGTAGTAATGTGATAATGTAATCTAAGTGCAAGTGAATTGCACATAAAGCATCAGGATACGATTTTAAAAACAAACCTATAAATAAAAAGCTAGGTAAATATTTTACCTTATATCTGGGTTTAGCATTCTCCTTGCCCTCCTTAGCGGGAAGCAGACGTTTTACGACGTAACGACGAACATCATCTTCCTTGGAAAGGTTGAACAGCTTGCGGATTTTGGAGGCACGCTTGGGCCCAAGACGACGGGGAACATTGCCGTCGGTAAGTCCGGGAATTTCCTGAAGGGATACAAATATGCATAATGTTAGGTATTTCTACCATAAAGGCACTTTATAAATTATTAGTAAATATAGTTTTTTGTTTGAGGTAAAGCAACAATTAGATTTGAATGATTTTATCAAAACATTTTTACATTCACAATTATTAAACCAAGAATAAAAACCCACATGGTAGAACATTCTTAGATTTACTAGTATCTATGAAGACATTAAATGTTTTTACAGAATTTTATTGATATGTAAATGTATCTTAAAAAATTAAATGTATGGTATTTGATAAAGGCCTCTGGACAAAATAATTCACAGGCTATGCCAAGTACCAGTTGTTATCCCCTGTCGCATATAATTGCTAAGATTTGGTTACCTTAGAAACAGTAAGAACAGGGTTAATTGCTATTGAAAATAGTTTAGAACCAGTAATGTTATACTTCCATAACTAGTCACATTGCATGGAATAAAACAATGGTGAATTTGTCAATTCGATATAAAAATAACATGGTTATACATGACAGAAATGTTTCTATCCTTGACACTGAAATAAAAATTACAATAAAAAACTCAGCTTATACTACTACTGTAGAAAAAATAGTATTTACCTGTTCACCCTTGCGTACAATGACCAGAGCCAACACAGAAAGGTTAGCGTCAACAATGCAACCACGGACAGACTTGCGTTTCCTCTCACCATCACGACGTGGTCTGTAGCATGAGTGGCCCTTTGACATCAACAAACGGACACGGCCTGAAAGATTTTGAGACTTAATAAGCTGAGCACTATATCATTAATTTTATTAAAGTTAGATTTATACTAAACAAGTAAGTTTGGTCAGTGGGTCGTCTTAGGGGCGGAGTTTGCAAAAGTCAAGCAAGTTCAATAACATAGCACATGTAACATGATTGACCACCTATATCTACTACTGCGGTAAATACAATTTTAAGTATTTAAGGTAATTACAAGTCAAATAACTACAAATTACTTGTCACTCTTAAAATACGTACTGTTGGTGAGGACTCCCTGCTTCATGGGGAATCCCTGCTTGTCGTTTCCTCCGGCGATGCGAAGAACATAGCCCTTCCATTCATCTCCTAGCTGATCCGCCTCCACTTCTGCGCCCATGCGCTTCTCGTAGAAGATGCGGAGCTTGTGCTCATCGACTACTTCGAACAACTTTTGACATCCCGTAGCCGGGAAGGAGACGTTCAGCTACAAAGACAAATTGAGGTTAGGAAAACAATCACACTTATCCATTTCCTGCGTAAAGCCAACTACTGCCGAAAAACACCACATGTTTGTATGTTGCAACTAAGTACTACTTTAAAACTTTGATTCTTAAACCACAAGGCACTTATTTGTCGGCATGTTAAATACACTTTCCACAATACTTCAAATCCGATCAACTTTTTTTCTAAGAATCATAATACGGTTTTTGCAAATAACTATGTAAACTTCTTCGTAAACTAATATATTAACGCATAATAACAATATTTCATTTAAATTTTATATAAAATAAATAAAAATATTAAGAGAACCTTCATGACTGCGGTTAGATTCCGTGAACGTCAGCCATGAAAAAGACCAAAAACAATTGTAGTGCTACTGACAAGGGATGCGTACAGAGTTTTGACAGCTTACCGTTTGTTCTTTTTGTCTATGCTAACTCGACTAATAAACTATTTTACATTCGTTTATGTTAAATAGTTGAATTTGTGTATACAGAAAGAATTTAATTTTTGAATAAGTGATGTATACAACTACTCACAAAATCAAATTGAGCTTTAAAGACACCCATGTGAAACCCGAAATATATTATTACAGTAGCGTGGCACGTCATGTCGCACCAGAAGCCTATTTGCGAACAAATATTGCGTTCTGACAAATGTTTCTCAGTTGCTTAACCTTGGCGTTTTGTCGATGTTAACCCACGCCATAATAATATTATTATATTTCTGGCTTTTTACCCTTTGTGGAACACACGCCAAGTTGTGGATTTTTCGCAGAAGAAAATATGCTATCATTAATATCATCGTAGCAGACGTGCTCGCCAGTTCACCCAGAGCAGCAGCTATACTTAACTTCTATAGATTGAGATTGATTTTTAGATTATATCTAGAACCTACATATCTCCTCCAAATCTCTTATTTTTTGTTCGATAAAATCCGTAACTTTAATTGTTATGATAAATAACAGTCAGTACAATTTTACTTGTGTTTCAATTGAAAGAAAGAAAGAAAGAAAGAAAGAAACATTTATTCACATAGAACACAGGTGTTACCAGATATAATAGTGGTGTGCAGTTCAGGCTGTATTCTGCCTACGTTAGGCATGCAAATATTTTTATAAACTAATAAAATTTCAAATTATATTCTATTATAACAAACAAAGTTAACATTTATTATTATTAGATATTATTTATCACACAAATAATCACATTCATTAATCTTACATTTCATAAATTCTTCTATTGTATAAAAGCATTTTTCTATCAGCCATTGCTTAAGCTTTATTTTAAAATATTTGAATGGTAGTTCCCTTAAATTCTTAGGTAATTTATTAAAGACCGATATGCACATATGATATACATTCTTTTTATTCAGAGTAGTTCTACAAAAGGGAACCATTATTTTCGAGGGATCTCTTGGTCTGTATTTAGTAATATGATCCCCTTTAAATTTAAAAAAGTAATTATATTTTCTTACAAATATCGATACTTCCAGAACATACATGCCAGTTAACGTTAGTAATTTTAGTTTTTTAAATAAAGGTTTACAGGAGTCAAGTGGACTTCCCCCACAGACAGCTCGTAAACATTTTTTTTGTGCAATGAACGCTTGTTGAACGTCTGTCGAATTTCCCCATATTATCAACCCATATCTGAGTATTGATTCTACATATCCTTTGTACGCTATTCCTGCAGTTTTTTCGTCTGTCACGGTACGAAGCTTCCTAATTGCATAGACAAATTTACTTAGTTTGAGGCTAACCTGACTTACATGTTGTTTCCAGTTACAAGGGTTATACGATCACACATCAACGAAACAGTTGATTTAAGCAAATCTTCGATTACGTAACGTCATAGCGACACTCGCGATGCAGACTGCGGACTCTCTTTCCTTTAATCATGTGGAAAAATCATCAAATGACTTTTCCCGCTCAGGGTAAGGCGAGAGGAAGTGTCAAACTTTTACTGACTAACCCCCCCTTTTTGTCTTCTCCTGCTCTTGGCGCCGTCTGTAGTGGTTTATTGGTTCTTTGAGGTGTGCGTGAAACGCTACTCACCGTACGCTCGGGTCTGGTTCGGGTCAGGGGCGGCGAGCTACCCTTACTCACCGTCCACAGGACCGCGTTTACGGTGACTGGAGATCGTCTCTCTTTTTCATGTAAGGGTAGTGTGGCGACAATGTAAAGATCGAGACACCGTTAATTACTTGTAGCTTTTTTTTATGTAAACGATAGGCAAACGAGCAGACGGATTACCTGATGGTAAGCAATCAGCGCCGCCCATGGACACTCGCAACTTAGTAGTTACGAGTGCGTTGCCGACCTTTTAGGGATTAGGGATTTGGAGATATAGGGATTTAGGAGGGATTGGGGGAAGGGAAGGATTGGGTCTCCGGTGACCTCACTCACACAGCGAAACACAACGCTGTGGTTATTTCACGCCGGTTTTCTGTGGGGCCGTGTTATCACTCCGGTCGAGCCGACCCATTCGTGCCGAAGCATGGCTCTCCCACACAAAAAAAAGCTTGAAAAAACAAGGATAGAGGTTGATGAATATTTAAGACATGACCTGACTTCGATACTGACTACCGCCAGTCCGAGAGTCAGGAAAAGTAATTTAATGATTTTTTACAAAAAAATTCTTACATTAATGAAAAATGAATATCTAAGTTCGATTTATCGGTTTTTAAGTGCGGTTTCTATAGTTAGGTTTTAAAGAATGAACAAATGAAACGTCACTGGGTTTGGTTTGAAATTGGGTGTCTCTGTCCAGCCTAGCGCAACTTAGAAGAAAAATAAAAATGTATGGGCTTGGCACGGCAAATAATGGCACACGGAAGTAGCCGGATATTGCCATCCCACTCCCTCAGTACAGTTCTCTTTCTTTCACTAATCCGTCGGCCATTTTGTTTGAAGTTTTGAACTTTGAATGTCGTTGCTTTTGTAAGTTTATGTTGTTATTTTCATAATTTCATAAATTTACGTATAATTTGTTTAGTTAATTAGTGGTTAGTGATACGGCTGTGACTAGTTACGTGTTCAAGTAAAATGCCACCAAAAAAACGGTTTCTAACTTGTGAAATCTGCGGAGGACGATCCGGTCGTAAAAATGGCGAGAAAAGGATGTTTATGGCGAAATTTCCTTTGGATGAGGATCGGTAAGCATTAAATGATATAATTTTATTTAATTCTCAGTATAAAAGGTTACAAATACATGTAAATTGATTTTCATGTACTTATTGTGTACTAGTGATGTACCTCAAGTATCGATAGTCACAGACTTATGTGTGGGCTAAACTCCAAAGATCCCTTGATTTATTTATTCTTTCGTGATTTACTTTCACGACCACACCAAAGAAGTAATGATGTTATTATATGTTGTTGAACAAAGTTGTGACACGACAAACCCAGTAGATTTTAAGAAATTAATGATTAAACGTAGATAAAAAATTATGTATACTGTATTCGTAAAATTTATGCATTTATTATATAAGGAACGCCAGCTGTTTACACAATTTAGAGTTATTCATGTCAGGGACTGACCATTTTGAATTTTTCCATTTTTCAGGTGCCGGCAGTGGGTGAAAGTTGTTGGCAAAGAAGAGTTAGTGTATGTGCCCATAGAACCAATTTACTGAACCAATATATGTATTAAGTATTAGAGTCCACTTAATTTAAATAATTTTAGTTAGGTCCTTAACACACCGTCCGTATATAACATGAATTTGAATATTATTACAAAAATATATTTTTTAGTTTTTAATATAACACAATGTTTTATTTCAAATCCGAACTTTATCTTAAAGATCGAAACTAAAAATTAAAAAAGTAATATGACCTCGATTTCTACCCTATAAATATTATCGATATCGATACTAAACCTAGTATACAGCTACCACAGAACTATTTGGCCTTTTAGGTTGGTACTATTGATTTTGACGGCTGACATCTTTTATTTATTGCAATGTAGGTATTAGAGTGCCGTGTAAATTGATTCCACTGGCTTGTATGGGAGTCCCGTCTCTTAAACGTAGTGGTTACATACTCTTTGTCTCTGTCTGTCTAGCGCTTGTGTCAGACAGAAGTCAAGTCTGAGCTTTCGTGTCGCTAAATTAATGAGTAGACAAAATTAAAAATGAGATATATTCGTATATAAATGATAGATTGGAATACTTTCTAAACCATAAGTGTATCGGCTCTATCCATTTAATTTGATTTCAGTGTATAATTTTCATTTATATAAATTGTTTTACGTTTGAGTTTGAGCAAAGTTTATATCTAAAATGAATCACGAAGAGAATAAAATTATGGCTCACCGGCAGCATGTGAAATATTTCATGAGATTCCTGAACATTTTACCTTCATCGCTGTCGTCTCATGACACTACCAGGTAATAATTATAATTAATAACTAATGGGTCTGATAAGTCTCCTTACATTCATTTATTACTTTCACAGTCAATGTAGGTCCTTGTCTAGTTTTAACTGATTTGAAGTATTTGATGATTGAGATCATTAAATTCATTAAGCAAAGTCATAGTAATCAAAAAGCTATACTATACTACTTTTATAAATTTCTCAAAAGAAACATATTAAAATAGTTGTAAAAAGGGGTATAAAATGATATAGAAAAAGTTAAATTAATTACAGAATAAATACCTACACATTCTTATATTGGTTTTGAAAGTAAAAGTAAGTTATATGTACATTGTTTAAAATTTTCTAGCCTATTTTACTACTTTAGGTTTCTGTATGGTCCACTTTTGTACATTAACAACTTAATATCATTTTAATAGCAATGTGCAGGCATGAAATGACCATTATTTATAGCAATTGGTGTTCTCTGATTTAAATTAATGCATCTATTAGGTATAATTTTTGTAATTTGTGACCTTTTTTCTATGTTTTTAACAATAAATAATTACTTAAGACACAATTAGGTCATCTTTTAGAATGTCTGATAAGCCACTTGATATCACATTTTGCATATAGAAATGTGCACCATAAATTGTTAATTTTACTCTTAGGAAAATAAAATACGAATTATCCCGTAGTTGTCAACCTTTAGTCTAGAATAATATAAATATATTTAAAGCTAGTTGTGCATTTTATTTTAAAGATTATAATAAGAATAAGAGTAACAAGTAAAAGAACTTGCTAGAATACATTTTCATTTACCTTATAATAGTTTAGTTGCAGTACATATTGTTATATATGGTTTATTTACCAAGAAAAATTTACATTCTCAAACTCAAATTAATCTATACTACTATTATAAAGAGGTAAAATTTGTAAGTTTGTATGTAGGGGGTAATCTTTGGAACTAGTGGTTGGATTGCCAAAATTCTTTCACTGATAGACAGCTACAATGTTTCCGAGTGCTATAAAATATCATGCTATAATCAAATAGAGCCCAGCAGCGAGTGAAACCGCGCGGGAGTAGCTAGTAAAAAATATTTTGACTGTGTCATTAACATTTAGTTTTATGTAATAAGCACATTTATGAAGTTAAATATGATAATAATATTGTCTTTATATTATAAGAAATAAAGTTTTTCCTGCAAAATATTCAGAACACTACTTAGAATACAAATAATGCTTCAATTTACCTCAGATATTCATGATTCCTTAATAAAATAATGTATTAGCATTGAATTTGAGGAACTATTCTTAAGTCTTGATACTTTTACAATTCAATGATTCTTGATAGGATCAAAAAAGTACAATTTAAATTAGTTATGCGGTAATTAGTATGTTCACAGAAGTTGAACAGTATAATTGAAACAAAATTAAATATTTTGTGTAACCATTACTTAGTTTTTTGTATATTTCAATTCACTTTCTGATATAACTGTGTTTAATTTTAAATCTTATGTGTTTTATTTCAGAGTAACAATTGCATATTTCTCTGTGTCTGGGCTGGATGTTCTTGGTGCAATATCATCAGTTTCATTGGATTTAAGGTCGAGAATAATAGAATGGATTTATAGACTTCAAGTACACCCAGATAAAAATAGTAAGTAGGTTTTGATATATTTTTACCTGTTAGTATCAACAAAGTAATCAACTACTTTAATTATGGCTACAGTACAATAACGGTAATATTGTCCGGAGACAGATGAACAAAAGTCTAAGTAAATAACCCCTGTTCTATATTATAAAGGTCCTGTTTAACTCCTCGGACATGGTAACAGAATAACACATAGACTTTGTAGGTACAAATTGTAGATTTTTCACATATTTTTTTCGTAAGTAAACAATATCATATTACACGCATACATCACATACATCATTAGCCTTTTAAGTACTTACACTTTTAAATCACATACATCATCAGCCTTTTAAGTACTTATATTAATAAAAAGCCTTTATTAACTAAACAGCGTGTCTTGAGACACATACAATTTTCCAAACATTTTAAAGTTTACTCTGTATCTGACTGTTCTTACATCAAGGGAACCTGTTGTCCAAATGAGTTATAAATGCTTACTGGACATACATAGACTTTTCTAAGTATATAAAAAGGTTTGAGCATTAATTACCATATTTGCTGAAGATGGATAGGCAATGTTTAAGTTCCTCTAAGTCTAGGTTGCCCCACAATGATTTTCTTCATTGAATGACAAATAAACTGGTTTCTAATTAAACATAGAAAGTACGTATTTATAAATTAGATTAGGTATGTTAGTACTTGCCGTCAAAAGTCACATTAGTAAAGTGGCATATGTTTTGAAGCTGCTGCACCCTTAGGCATGAGAAGTGGGTGCCTTAACCTCCAGGCTAGGTACCGCAAAAACAAGATACTTTGTATCATGTTATCAATGAATACTCTTTGCTTGTCCTCTGTCTGTCTATTTAATAGCTATATCTCAATACCTATAATAAAAAAATATGGTGTGAATTGACATTGGTTGTATAAAGAAAACTTTTTTGACCTTAAACTAGTCGTAGGTACTTGTGGAATATATTTATTGACGAGAATCTTCTTTTTTATATTTTTGTTATTTCTAGGAAATGATTTATATTTTTTTGTGCTAAATAGTATTCATAGACATTTTATGTTTTTTTAATATAATTATGGCGTCTGAAAAGTAATTTATTGCATAAAGTATTTTTAAATAGTAATTAATTCATTTTATGGAATGTGTTTCACTCACGCAAATCAGAGGCGTTTTTGAAGCACCTTTACTCATTTATTGCCCCTTTTGGTTCTTGCGTTCTTTTCCAATATTTTCTCGTATTGCAATGAATTCCTAGGTGTTATATTTTTTATTTGCAGCTTTATTTGCGTATCCCGAGTAAAGAGATCTTTTATATTCCTATTGAATGCCTGATAAATATTATTATCATTATGTTCGTTCGTTTCCTTTCACGGGGCCACTAGATCCCGGAACGGATTTGGAAGGCGTGGGTGATTCTCCAAAAAACCTTAACTTTTATTTAACAAGTCATTATCCTCCCAGGTTTTTAAGCATCTTAGTAATTTATTTTATACAATATATTATTATAATATAATATTTTTAATCGGTTACTTGTAAGCAGTGGTGAGATTTAATTTAATAAAATAATTATCTGTGTTTTAATCAGCAGACTCGTTAATTTTCGGTTGAGGATAATGACATTATTAAATTTTTTTTAATTGATGTGAAGAATCACCCGCGTACGAGGGGCGAAGCCAACTCGCAGAGGCCCGTTGAACAGTTTTAATCTAATGTGAAGGGACATCAGCCGGCAATTATCCCTGTATGCACTATAAAAGTGCAAGGACAATCCCCGGTTGATGCAAGGCTATTGTGCAATATGGTAGAAAATTATATAGTTATGGGTGTGGGTGGCTATGGACTGGTAGATGATAACTATGAAAATACTATAACTGTCAATACCTACAATTTCTTTAGCAGTCCTTTAGACTAAAAAATCATAGCACTTAATTACTTATCATTTACTATAATTGCTTTGCTCCTTTTAATTATGTTCAAGCCAGTAATAATTATAATACCTATAATAGTTATAATACGATTCGATTATTACCTGTTCATGCGACATTCCACGAGGTCAACAAGGTTTTTAAATCCAATGTCAAAAGCGGACACGGCTCCCCTCTTGTCAATACAAAATGGTAGCATGTTACACTACACCAAATAATCATAATTATTTTGAATCGATTTTGAACCTTTTACACTTGTTATAAAGTTGAGAATTTGCTAAACTAGGGTAGGCTAGCCAGTTTTGCTGGTGTTTTTATTATCAGTCTCACCAAACCCTTTATCGTGCTAGAGTATGGGTGAGTTAGTAGACTCGTATCTCGTAAGCATGTGTGGGTGCTATTTATATAATAAATATGTTGAGTAAGTAAGGAAGGAAGAATGATTGTGTTAATGCTTTAATAGTTCAGTTGATTTGTCGTTGAGACTTGGGTTTTGTTAGTCATAGTAGTCATATTTTGATCTTGTTGCGATATTGACCCTTCTTCGAAGATGGTATTATTCCTTCTTATGTTCAAAAATTACCTTAAAATGTATCTTTTTATCTTATATGTATTGTAGTCTATCTGAAGAGCCGAAGTTTACCAGTTTTGTACCATTTTCACGATGATATGAATTCTAATCGTTGATCTGTTCTAAACCATCTAGTATATTAGACATATTAGAATGCAAATTGCAATAACTATATATTATAAAGCTGTAGAGTTTGTTTGGCACGCGCTAATCTCCGGAACTACTGGTTCGAATTCAACAATTCTTCTATATAGGCTATAAAACATCACGCTACGATCTATAGGAGCCGAGCAGCGGGTGAAACGGCCCGGGAGTAGCTAGTATAACATGAAAAAACCATCAGCAGTTTAGGAGTTATTGTTAAACACATGAACAGGATGTAATAAAACGCATTTATTTTACTTATCAAATGATAATCGAGATGAAAATTACGGTTTTGCGTGTCGGATGGACAGGTTTCGTGGACAAAGCAATAAGAACACTAGTATACCTAAGTATTTAATTCTGTACCTTTGTATAGTATGAGTCATCTGAAAGTATTGGAAAAGAACTCGCTTCGAGACCGGTATTCAGAAATGTCTTCCTACTTTCAAATGCACCAAAAAACCAAGACCATCTAGGTACCTATCTGTACCGTTACACCCTGTATAAATGAAAGTGGATTATAAACTCGCTTATCTACAAAATGGCAGCACTGAATAGGATAATTAATTATTGCTTCTACTCATTATTACCTCATAAAAATGATCTATGATTTGTTTTCTTTCTAGGACAGGAATATTGGGTATTTTTGCCTATATGCCATAGGTAAACATCTTAACCTTTCAGACGTGGTTGTTCGAGACATACTAAAAGAACAATACGTGCGCGAACACCGGCGTTCGCTCAGGGTTTGACGAATTTAACTTATTAATCGCTTAGTTTATAAATATAAGCCAAAATCTTTAGATTTTGTTAATAAATGCATAAAAAGTCTGCCAATGTAACAAGGCCGTCTGCTTACTGTCACAGTACAGGGTAACGCAACGAAAAATCGTCAGAGGTCAAATCACGTCGATCAGTTTTTATCAACTGGTCTGACCGCTTTCCGCCTCTTTTTGTTTTGTTCTCGTAATAGTACTGTGCCATTTAAACAGAGCTATGATGCAAGTAAAACCTGCATGATTGTAAGCAAATCGTTCCTCCATGTTAATTTTAAATCGCATTTTATTTTAAACTAGCGGTCCACCTCATTCGCAAGCCAATGACGTAAGAGGGATCCTTACGTCATCGTCGTATATTTCGGTCGGGGTTGCGGGGCAAGCGCAATAAGGTACCGCAGCGTCGGTTTAAAGCAGGAGAAGGAACGGGGGTTTTTAGTCAGTAGGAGTCTGAAACTCCTCGGCTCACCCTGGGCGAGAGAAGTCATTGGATGACTTTCCCCTCATAAAAAAGGGTTGCTATATTCCAGTGTCTTTCTCAACTTTTCTAATTTTTTTTTCATTAGAACTTTTATCTTATGATAACAGACAAAAAAATATAAAAAACGATTTGGCAACATTACTCCAGGCATTGTTGAGTTATGTGCTATTTTTATGGGGGGAATATCATCATATGAACTCTCGCCTAGGGTGAGACCAGAGGAAGTGTCAGACTTTTAGTGACTGAAAACCACCCACTCTTTTGCCTGTTCCATGCCGAGGCCGCGATATTTTATTGTGCTTGCCCAATAACCTAGGCTGTGATTTATGATCTTACCAATACATTTGCGGTTCATTTCAAATATATATACAGGTAGATAGATAGTCCCTACTTAATCGGCGTTGTAGACAAACTGTGTAATGAATGTTCCATGCCTAGGTATGCGTATACTTATCATCCGCCTCTTTATGCGGGCTGAATAACGTTGAGGTTTTCCTTTTGAATATTCTTGCAATCTGTAGAACTAAACGAATCTTATCCTGTTTAGATAATATGACGGTTTTAACTAGCTTCCGCCCGCAACTTCACACGCGAATAAAAGTAATGCATTCCGGGATTTTAACAGCATCAGCGTTTAAAGCGATAGCTTGACTAAAATACGCAAATCACAAGAAAAAGTATAATTTATAGCTTGTAGCACTCAGGAACATCGTAGCTATCTCAGTGAAACAATTTTGGAAATCCGACAAGCGATTCCAAACAATACCCCCTACATAAAAACTTACAAATTGCTCTATATAATATTAGCATACATTAAAAGGCATGCATTCATGCATACTCATATTATGAGAAATTTCTATGTCTAGTACTTAAGGGACGGAAACAGGCTGCTAATTGTATTGCTTTTGATCAATTTCGTTATTAATTAATTTAATGGAAAGTACGGAGCCAGATGAAATGCTATTTTCATGATGACTCGACGCCAGAGCGGTACGCTGTTTTCCTCATGCGATTGGAGGCATAAATAGATTTTTCCTTAGGTCTTGGTCTTTCAACCCGTAACTCGTGTGCGATAACCGGGACTATCGACAGTACAAATGAACCTGCACCACCTGTTTCCTTGTCTGAGACTAGATACTTGTACCTATCAATCACCTCAAAATGGCTCATGTATGCAAAAATATTCCTTACCTAAAGGAATCTATTTTGAATTGAATTAATTGCAGTGTACAAATAAATAAATTGTAAATAATTAGTCTACCGTGAAAGCGAGCATCTTAACTGGGTTAACAACCTTTTCTGCGATTTTGGGGCTTAGTAGTTTAATAATACGGTGGTTTCCAACTAGTCAAATTCAATACTAAACTTCAAATTCTTACGTCATAGTATTTTTGCATCAAATATATTACTTTTTTTTATTAGCTAAATAATATCGATAATTTTGTGTATCTTTCAATATTTTATTGTATTGATACGTCGATTTAATTTATTTTTGACCTAGGAAACTACTTAATTACATTTAGTTAGCTAATTCTAGCTAGATCTTCTCATTACTACAATGTTCGGGCGAACTTTGTTATTTAGTAGGTCACGACTTTTTTATGCCGCGTGATTTTAATGTTCCATGTCCATGGACGGCGCTGATCACTTAGCATCAGGTTATCCATCAGCTTGTTTGCCTTCTATATCATAAAATACCTGTAGATTGGTATTATTGGGTATTGATAGATACTATACCTTCTGTTGGCTATGGTGGCCCGAAATTGAAGGCGTCCGAAAATTATGTATTTAGATCTCTCTTCCTGACTTAAAACTTCAGACTGCTTCTGACTAAAAACCATCTCTTTATATCCTGCTCCGAGTCGGGGTTGCGGTTCATAAGCCAGGGTCGCGCATAAACTTTACCATTGTGAAAACGATTGTAGCATGAATTATTGTAGCATTCTTTCTAATATTATATTGTTCTAGTAGTCACATGTAAAATAGTTAAATATCTAAGGAAGAGAAGTGTTAAGTCCATATAAGCTTTTCAGCAAACATACCTGAGTTTAAAAAGAGATTCCGAAGTTTATCATTCAAATGTAACTTTATTAGCATTGGATTACTTCTAGCCATTATAATGCAAATACTGAACGCATTGCATTAGTAACGTTATCATATTATTTATTTTATTTGAACATGTTTTTATTTAAGTAGCAGTTTTATTGCACGGTTATCGACATGTAAATACATTAAACAACCTTGTCTACGACTTATGAAGATGTTATGTTTTATATTTACTTACGCGTGTACGTGTCAACCTTGTTTTGATACGGGTTATTAATCTGCATTAAGCTATTAGGAAACTTAAGAACTGCCCACAAATCATTATTCAGGAAAACAATTTTCTTATAACACGTGTACATGAAGTGAAAGGTCATTGACTTACTGGACCTAAAATTATTGAATCTGTCTAAATTACAATGCATTTCCTTTGTGTCTCGCCGTGTGAGTGAGGTTGCCAGAGGCCCAATCCCTCCCTCTCCCCCATCCCTTCCCAATCCTTAAATATCCGAAACTCTTATTCCTAAAAGGTCTGCAACACACTTGTAACTCCTCGTTTTGTGTTGCGGTTGTACATTTCCGGCGCTTATTGCTTACCATTAGGTAATCCATATGCTCATTTGCCGAGTTTGCCATAAAAAAATCTAATCGGACGGATCCCGTATTCCACAATCTAGCTATTAATAATCGAAGCTCATCGCGTATTTTTGCGTTACAAATGATGGAAATGGTGTCAATTTGAAATTACTTATACATTAAATCATAAAATAACAAAGTTATAAAAAAAATATGTTCTTCAATTGCAGATGGTGACATGTCGATGTGCGGTTTCCAAGGGTCTTCGACAATAAATATAGATTTGGATCCCCCCAACAATCATTATCGTTGCGGCCATCTAGCAATGACGTATACCGGTCTTTGTATCCTGCTTGCAATGGGTGATGACCTCTCTAGAGTCAATAGGAAAGCTTTAGTTGCTGGTAAGTTAATATTAGATTTGTTAAATCATGATATGATTGCGTTTACAATGCTTCTTTGTACAATCGTCAAAATGCTTTATTTTATTTTTAACTTTATTATTATAGTATAAAGCTAAAAATTTAATAAAAACAATTGACAAACTGTCAATGGAGACCTGTTGACGAGGACTGTATCTCTCGATGTTTAAGATGAGTTAAGCTAGTGGCCTTGACCAATATTTACTTGGGAACGAGTAAACGTGGCATAAATTATAAGGTAAAAAAATGTGTTCCGTAAAAGAAAATATTTGATAATGTAACTTTTATCAACATTATTTGGTTTCTTACCTTAAGAACCATACTTACATCATTAATATATCTATCAAATACAACCTACATACACTTGGCTACGCACAAAAAAGTCAAACAAACATTCACAGCAATGGGAAAAATATTGTATCCGAGCGCATTCTTTTAGCAATTATAAATAGAAGTATCGTTTAAGAGATGCGGGAAAAACATTCATACATAAACATACATTTTCTGTGTTTGAATGATTCGTCCGGGAAGTAACTACGGCACTTATTTCTGCGGTAAACAGTAGTATTGTTAACCGAATCGACTGTTTGCTTTCCGAATTATTTCCAAGTATAGCAGGAACATTTTTGTGTTTGGTCTTGGCGACGAATAGCTTCCTGCTTTTCTTGACGTCAATGTTGTTATGAGAAGTAAGATACGGGGTCCATTAGTAGATTAGAATGTATTATGTTGCTGTACTTGTAATGGGAAGTTATTAGTAAAGGTACTATTGTGTATCTATGTATTAAGTTCACAAGGACATGTGAATTTTATCTTAGGCATTGATGTTTCTCGATTGTGATGATTATTTTAGTAACAAATGATGATCATTCATTTAGGCTGTCAGCCTTTTATGTTCCGGTTAGAGCAAAGTGTTAGTACTTAGTAGTACAGTTTGACAAGTCTAAAACGTATTAATGTTTAAAGAGGTTTTAAGCTACTACCTTCTATTAGTCACTCGTTATGCCATTTCTTCGTCAAATTAGTAATTAATTCACAAACATCAGACAACTCGTGATAGTTCTGTATCGGACTATGGGCTTCTTTCAAATATGTTCTTAGTAGGAGTTCAAACCTCCTTCTTCTTTTAGGCGAACTTCAACAAGTTCTCCTACTGAATGGGGTAGATTTATTGTGTGTCAGTGAGTGCTGCCGCCCTATTCTTTTTAATTCATCAAGCCTCAAGCTAACGCGTTCGCCCGCCTATTGTTCTTCTATAGTGTCTCGAATTACCATGATTGGAAGGTTAATGTATAGTACCTTAGTAGGCTCTTAACACACTCTCGGAGAGAGACGGTGACAACTAAATCAGTCGTTTCTTTTCACTTTATTCTTAACTAGCTTTTGTCTGCGACTTTGTTCGTGTGGAATAGTGACTTCCTGCAGATTTTTGGGTTTAAAACTATCCTATGTCCTTTCTCGAGTTTCAAACTCTGTCTGTACCAAATTTCACTCAAATAGGTTCAGTAGTTTAGGCGTGAAGAAAAGACAGACAGAGAATTGCTTTCGAATTTATAATATTAGTTTGGATTGTTATTTTTGTTGTCTCGTTTTCTAGGTGTAAAAGCTCTACAAACGGAGGAAGGTAACTTCGCAGCCACGCTCTCGGGTTGTGAGTCAGACATGCGGTTCGTGTATTGCGCGGCGTGCGTCAGTTACATACTCAACGATTGGTCCGGATTCAACATTGAAAAGGCTACAGACTATATCATTAAATCTATAGTGAGTATTGTTTCTATAAAGGAGTTTTTGTATAACGGGACGGGATTTGAAGCCGCAGGATTAGCTGATGGTAAACAATTACTTGAGTCGCCCACTTCTCACGAAACGGTAAAGATAACATCGTAAAGAAACCTGGACTAATAATTTCTAATCATAAGTTTGAAATCGCCAATCCGCCTTGAGTAAGCGTGGTGGTTAATGCTCAAATCTTCTCTGTGTGAGAAGAGACTTTTGCTCAGCAGTTGGGTTTTTATAAACTGATGATGATGATGATGATAATGATGAAACAATTACCAACCACAAAGCCTGAGGAGTCTACGGTAACCTCACTGCCACCGTGAAACACAACGAAAACATTATTTCACGCCAGTTTTTGATGAGGCTGTGAGGCTTATCACTCCGGTCGAGCCGACCTCCAGACCTTACGAAAAAGCAATATAACAATGATATTAATTCAATGTTAGTGTAAACCATAATTTAGTGTAAGCATCTAGCAAGCTATAAAACGTGTGGTTTAATTAACTAGTAGCACGTAAATTATGTTTGCGTTGTAATAGTTTAAGCAGTAGCCATGAAATAAAAAAAAATGGTATCGCTGTGCAAATGAATTGTATTTGAAGTTCTTTGTTTAAATTTCGATTGCCAGATAGTCCTTAATCTTTAAAATTTGAGTACTATAAACTAAGACACACTGTGTACTTTATTCAGTGACGAAAGATATGTTTAAAAGTGTCCTAAAATGGACTATTTTACAGGGATACGACTATGGCATCGCTCAGTGTCCGGAGTTAGAATCGCACGGCGGCACGACCTTCTGCGCCTTAGCCACACTGAGTCTCACAAACCAACTGCACAAGCTCTCGGAAGAACAGGTAGAAGGGCTGAAGCGGTGGCTCCTCTTCAGGCAAGTCGACGGCTTCCAAGGCAGGCCTAACAAACCAGTCGACACGTGCTACAGTTTCTGGGTAGGAGCGTCTTTGAAAATACTAGACATGCTACAATATTCTAATTATGGAGCTAACAGGAGGTACGTCTACGAGACACAAGATACAGTAGTAGGTGGGTTCTCCAAGTGGCCAGACACATGTACGGACCCCATGCATACATATCTAGGACTTGCCGGCCTTAGCCTTATAGGCGAAAGCGGATTGTTGGAAATAGAACCGACTTTGAATATAACTAAAAGGGCGTTCGAACACCTAAAGTCTTTGCACGCGAAGTGGGACAATGAAGATCTCCGTGTTTTATGAATACCTCTCATGGTCGTGAGAAAATGTTGGTAATTGTGAATGACGTACTTTATTAATGTTTAATCTACTTGGCGTGTGTTTGTGAGGTCGGATTTTAATGTGACACGGGCTCTACTGCACAAATAAAGGACCAAGTTTTATTATTGTTAATTAGAACGAACAAATTTTTTATATGTAACGCGTACAGTTGCGCTTCTAAATTCACAGTTACAACAGTTTCCTACCAACCTCGTTTGACCTAAGATTTCTATGAATTTTTAAGTTACCTACCGAAATTGTCGTAATTTATATGCATAAGTTTATAAAAACGTTCTTTATGCTAAAGTATTATTACTGTTGCATAATTCTTTTGTATAATATTGAATTTGTTAGTACTTAAAGTAATGTTTATGAATAAATAGGTGCTAATACGATAGGGTACCTAGGTTAGTACCTAACGGTGTCATTGGACAACGACTTTATGTTTAGCGTTTATAGTACAATATGAGAATTTCTCGCGACGTGCCATGAGCAGTTGAGTAGTTAGGCATTTATCAAATTATTGCACAAAATGTAATATTAAGCTGTTTAATGTAGGGCGCAGACATACAAGTTTTTACGAGATTCAAATAGACGTTAAAACGCAGTCAATTTTAACACATGGAAGTATCAAGTCTGTGTAGTCCGTTCACAGTAGGTAGCGTGTTTAAAAAAAAGATATTCCTTTTGGTCACAGATTAGTAAGATTAAAGTTATGGAAAATAGTAGGTTTATTATTTATCGTCATGGATTTGTTTTAAGATAACTTATACATATACCAACATTTTTATTATAGAAAAAATATTTCTTTTCATAGGAACATAACTGACCTACTCTTTTTTCCGTACTCAAATGTATTTAATGATTACTTAATTAATTCCTCAGTAACGATTTTGCTCCGAAAACATTCGTTAAGAATTTTGAATAAATATAAAATGACACTGAGTTACTGAGTGTCGGTTAAAAATATTTTACTGATTATATTGTGGAGGTAGACTTCCGAAGCCTAAACACAAAATGTAGGCGTACTTTATTAATAGAATGAATTATACAACGTACCAATGAAAGTGGAACTAATTATGTGAAATTAAAACGCTAACAGTTGTTTTAGAGAAGCGTCAATTAATTCATTTTGGTTCTTGCATCATTCAATGTAATTATTATTATTTTAGACTGGCTAGTTGACCCATAACCGGCGAGTGAATGCACGGTCGTATCATTTTCTCTGGTCAGGCTAGGTGGTGATTCTCTGAAAAACATTTATTTAATAAATCATTGTTCTCCCGCGTTGTTAAGTATATAAGTAACGGAACAACATCAATATTATTATTGGATCGCTTGAGAGAAGTGATATGATTTCATTTCTCAAAATCATTATTTCTATTTAAACTGGCAGAATTGTTAATTTTGAGGTTAACTGTTGAGGATAGGATGAATGATGTCATCGTGCATTTTTGCCTAATTTATGCAAAGAATCACCCAGGTACCTATTAAGACTATCCTTTGGGTGAACACAGAATGATTATATCATATCCTAAGTATGAAATGGCTTATTACCTAAAATTACCGAAATGCTGGTTTCACTTTCAAATAATTTTTAGACACGATAGAAATAACATTGGGGTTAACATAGTATTGCTATTGCTCTTTGCCAACGCAACCCCTTCCAGATACGTCCATAATTCGATTGTATGTTTCTCAGCTGGCTATTAATTTTACTTTCAGTTGGTAATTCTTTCAGACAGTTTTTTATGGATCGCCTACTAAGCAGGTTGTTAAATGATAGTAGTTTTATTATATATGTTTAATAGCAGTTAATGTTTTAGAGCGTTACCTACAGCGGGTTGGGGATCGCAGTTTCAAATAATCCCAATCTTTGTGAAATAAGTAGTTTCCAACTGCCGCAGGATATTTGTATGTGGAGGACAAATTAAAAAAGTCACTGCAGTTTTATATTATAAACCATTTCATAATGGAGAATTATATCGGTAGATGAATCTGCTAGTGAGGTCCAAGGCTAACTTATAAAAGTCGTAAGTACTAGTAGTATGCATAGAAGTATCAGTTACTCTGGTATTTAATGTATTTTTTTAATTATCGTCCTTGTTTCTTTGAACTATCAACTGTTTGAACGCTAGGGTTGTTTCAAATTGTTTAGTTTTTGTAGACAATAATTCCACACTATTTCGGTATTGGTATTACATCAAGAATTTTCCTACCACTTACCAAATCTTTTTGCGATTAGTCATCATAATGAAATACAAAAATTAAGACTGTGTAGATAAATGACGTTTATTATTTTGTTTTGTCATGAGCTTGTGTCAATGCAAACCAAACTATATGTCTACTACCATACATTACATTTTTATTTAATAATTTTACGTCTACTACAATATTTATATATCGAACGCAATTTTAATTCTGTATTTTAAAGCATTTGTACAGTGCATTTATATTTTGAGAAAAACATCGTTTCTGGGAAACGCCGTTATCAATAGGATATTTAATAACTTTATTTATTTTCCCTATTATTTTAATGAACTGAATCTTGGAACACAACAGTTTTAAGTATTTTTCCAACAGATAGATTTGAAGTTATAGTCTATGGACATTTAGTCGATTGGGACCTTTAGAATTTTCGCGTCACTAACGCCTGGTGAGCTAAATAGTAATTCGCGCGTTTGACATTTTGGTCAATCATATAACCCTAGGTACTTTTTTACAAGACAAGCATGAGTTACTAATCAGTACGTTATACTGATCAACATTTACACTTTTTAAGAGGCACTTACTGATTTTTTATAAAAAATATTTATATTTTTACATAATTAAATCCATCAGTTCCTGCGTTAGCAAATTGTGTCTTATTTCGTTGTGTTAAAGCTTGCATTGTTTTGTAATTGTGTGTTGCTTTTTATCGGCAAACCTTTACTAGTTATACAGGGTGCGAAAGAATGAAATATGTATTAGAAGTATCTGCGTTGTTTTAATTGTTTCTTCGGGAAATCGTTTATATTTTCCTAATAAATAAATTAAGTTATTTATTAGGAACATATTATAAAATATCATGTTTTTGAAAAAAAAACAGTAGATTTATGTAGTAGTTTTCTTCAAACTCAAACTTCTTGTTTAAAAATTACTCAAGACAGTCTTAAAATACTTTGTTCCCAGCTCCCAACGAGAAAAATTAAAGCAATAAATAAATTGAGTAGGAATTATTTTTATTTATTAAACCCCAATTGTTGTGAACCTGTTCTTGAAGAAGGGTAACATAAACATTCAAAGGAAAAATAATCATATCAAAATTAGAATAAGTCTTATAATGGACTGTTTTGCATAAATCACGCAGCATCGAATTATTTGAAATTCGAACAAATATCGCCAAATATGGCGCTAAGCAACAGGTCCACAAACATTAATTAACTATTTCGCTAAGGTCAACATTTTGTTATTTATTTTTTAATTTATTAGTAAAGGTTTGTCACTGTAATTTAAATGAAAAAGAAATAACGATGTTATTTTATGATTTGTGTTTAAAAGTTATGCGTAAATTATTATGTAAAGTTATAGTATTAGTTTTATTGGAAAAAAAGTAATTTGAACATGTAATTATGTCTATTTTGAGCATTTATTTCGATTTGTTTAAAAAATATTGAAATAATATAATGAAAGTTAAAATGAAGAATGTGTTTTATTTTCAGTTACCAAATGAACTACTTATAAATGAGATAAGGTTGTTTATTGCTTTTCGAGTACCTAATTAAATTATACACTAGCAGTTATTAGCATTACTCGCATTACTTGGAGCACACTTTGGTACCAATATTTTGGTCTTTTGTTTGGTGTCTATTTTGGTTCTTGATCTGCAACTCTGTCTTAGAACATCAGCCTTGTTATGCTCCATGTTGGTGGTCTATTGGCTTGGGTCGGGTTCTGATTGGGCGCCGAGCTATCCTTGCTCTCCGTCCGCAGACCCGGTACGCAGATCGGAAGTCGTCACGCAATCCTTTCCAAGTTGCATCCTTATAACCTGGAATTATTATTTCTAATTATAAGTTTGAAATCACCAATCAAAGTTGAGCAAGCGTGGCCATTATTATGATACTCAAACCTTCTACATATGAAAAGATGCCTTTAAACAGTGGTGGACAACTTACAGGGTATGCTTATTGTGAGTTATTGGGGATTTACGGATTGAGCATGGGGGACAGGGGACGAATTGGGCCCCCGGTTTCCTCAATCACACGGCGAAACATAACGTAGGTAAGTGTTGGTTCACGCCAGTACTCTCTAAGGCCGTGGTATCACTCCGGTAGAGCCGGCCCATTCGTGCCAAAACATGACGAGTAAATATATTACATATACCGTTGTTATCGACTTATTATCCTTAACTTTACTTCAACAGGCAAACAAAGACCTAGGAGTCTAAAGCTAGCAATTGTATAGCAATTAAGAATCCATTTATAGCATTAGAACATTTATTTTCTCATCAAAGCCTGTGGCTAGCGAAGAAAACATTTGTTCTCTAAACAAATGAACGATTAAGTGTTCGAGGGGAATTAGAGTGATTACCGTGACGTCAGTAATTACGGCAAGTGACGCATAATTTCACGAAAGACATCAAGTTGGGTGAGTTGCGGAATTAACATAGAAGTAAGTTCTCTGATCTGTCACACTTGAGCGTGAAATTGTCTGCATTCACGTCGTTGAACAGCCAGACATATGCACGTTATATAATGTGTCTCAGAAATTAGCTAGCCGTAAGTCCATTGATTGTTCTTGCTTGATGTAGTTTGTTGAGGGTGAATTGTTAGATACCTAAGTGACTAAGGTGTTTTGAATAAGTTTAATGTTTAAACAGTTTTTGCTTTTTTCTATCTTTAGGGCTTATTGTTAAGTATCTGTCGTAGACTTTGTAAATTATGGCTTACATGCACACATAAATGTTCAACGAGGTTACACGACTACTTTCAAGTTACTTTGGAGGCTACATGGGTGGCGCGGTGGCTGAGGAACCGACAGCCGTGTAACGTAGGTATCGCGGGTTAAATTCCCGCAGAGGCAACACACAGACACAGACACATTTAGAATGATCTGGTACACAATAGAAAATCCTACAAAATAAGAGGCATTACTTTTTTTTTATAAAGAATGTATGGACAGCAATTTAAAACCTAGTTTAGTTTTAAATCTAAATTCATCTTTTAACTAAAAAGCTAGCAATAAAATAGATAGAGAATACAAGTTTTATTTCTCTTCGTCGGAACAATTAGGTAGGGGTGTAGTTGCACTACACTATCCTACACGATTTTACACTAACGGTTCATTCGGTGAGCCGTTTCTACACTGGTTCATTACCCCACCAAGTGTGGACCACAGATACGTACGAAGCTTGGCTGGCAGCCGGTAAACTAGACTTAGTGAAGTATTAGTAAGCGCAGCTCTATCTCGTCGGCACACAGCGCCAAGGAACGCAAAATAGAGGTGCTGCATTAACAGCTAATGCTTAGGATTTCACAGTGTTGTGCGCAGCTGTAACTTCAACATGTTATATTCATCGCATGGCGAGGCAAGTGTTTTGATAGTATGTGGCAAATGTTTTGAAATTGTGTTCGTAATAAGAATAATTTCTCTTTTTGGTGATGGCTGTTGGTGCTAATCGTAACTGTAGATTATGTAGGTATCTCCATCTCTACAGCCAATCACCATCAGTATGACCATGGCCATTTTATTTATCATA